ACGACACGAAGGTATAGTATTTGACATTAGGTTCGGTAGTTGTGCCATGTGGCATACATGCATTACGACGGGATGTATGAGATACAGATGACGACAGATTACAAATGTGTACATCTAGAATAGCGGGCAGAATAGATACGCGCCCTCGTCTTAGAGCTTGTAGTACACCAAGAAGGTTTAGAGGATCAAGGAGATGTCTGTAAGTGTCGGGAAGCAAGCGATGATTATGTATGGAGGAAAAAGATGCAATGCGTGGTAACAAGTAGAAGTAGATGACGATACCGCCAGTGTACAAAGGAAATGTGTAGTGATGGGGATAAAAAACCAATGAAAATGCGCCCCTTCCGACTCTGCCTGGGTATCTTTTCCTTCTCTTTTGCTCCACTAGTTGACACGCCACTCGAGACACCAACTGTCTTCCTCGCCGATATCTTTCTGTCTGGAAACGCTGGCCGACTCTTTCTCAATGCCGTCCCCGTCAACTCAAATTCTCAACACCCCACAAATGATGTTATCCCAGCCTGAACCCAGTATCTTTCCCAACGCCGCCGCAATGCTGGACCCGCTGGTAATGTGTTGCGCGTCGAAGGAACAGTTGTTCGTCGTGTCCAAAGTATGCAGGTAATTGGTTAAAGGAGTGTATATTTGAAGAGGAAGGGTATACCGTGGCCAAAATCGTGGTACGTCGTAAAGGAAATATGTAAAGGGATTAGAATGTTTGTGTGTGTGCCCTCAAAGAAGTATTGCAAATGCCGAAATCGACCCCAAGGAGGGAAGTTTGTGACCAGCACGAACTCCGCAATACAACTTGTCTCCGCATGCGCTCATGCTATCTGTTTAGGTTTTTTCTTTCTTCACCATGCACGTAGACTCTCGAATTGGCCAGCCAATCCATCGCAATTAAGGTCGGTCAGTCATTGGTAATTTGCGCCTGGATCGCTTGGCCCAGCGGCCATTTGCGACGAGGAATAGGTGCCCTGGTGTTGATGTTGTCGGTGTGATTCTTCCTCCTCCTCTTCCTGCGCAGCCATCTCTACCGCCTCCAGTTGCTCGGCCTTGTCTTTGCACGCGGTAGGCGAAAAGCCACTGCCGACCTTCGAGGAGATGATGCGCCAACGGTCGTTCTCGTACTCCTGCATGGCGTTGCGAAGCTTTACCACCTGTATTACCGGTTATGGTTAGCATGTCGGAGATTGTGGATGCGATACACGACGTCGTGCGTTTCATGACTAGGGTAGGGACTCACCATATCATCCGTCCAGACAGTGGTCTTTGCTTTGAGCTTCGTGCAGTACCGAACTTGGAGTGTGCCAGAGCTGCGGCCAGGGAAGAAGTCGGCGATTTGCTTCCAAGTGAGGTTTTTCTTCTCTTTGAGATCGACAAGTAACTGATCGTCTTCGGGCGTGAACTTGAGCTTAGGGCCGCGGGGTCGTTGTGCTGGTGGAGGCATTCCCTCTTGTCCTACTACGCTGGGAGGACCATGATGTTGAGCGGGAGAGGGAGGTGCGCCCTCCATTGGGTGATGTCTCTTATTGCGATGTGTATTTGGTAGATGATGGTGATGTGTGGGAGGTAAAGAGGATTGTGGGGTTGGCGGCGGCGGGTATTGTTGAAGGGAGTAACCCTGCGTCGCGTGTTGTAGTGAGACGCTTCCCGTTGCTTGAGCGTAAGGATTGAGTTGCTGCTCTAAGCTCGGAGGGAGATCGTGTTGCAAGTCGTCTTGGTGGCTGCGCTTGCGTCCGGCGGTTTGCTGGGGCGGCGGTGGGTAGCCCACGTTGTAGGAAGATGGAGAGTGTTGCGACATAGAGTGATGGCGCAACAGATGGGGTTGATGTAGTGAATGTGTGTCGATGTCTGTGTAGGTAGGATGGTGGCCGGCGCCGGCATGTTGGAGTGTTTGAGACTGGTGTGGCTGCAGGAAGGAGTGAGGGTGGTAACCCGGAGGCAGTCCGGTATGGGAATGGAGGACATTTGGATGTTCGACGTTTGAGGTCGGTATGTGATGTTCTTCCCCGGCATCGCCTGGTACGCTGTAGTCGAGGAAAGGGCCTCGATAGGGACTCGCCAGTGTTGCGATCACGCATGGAGACTACCAGAGCTAGGTTGCTCTGGCAGGCCGCCGCAGTGAGACCTGAGCCAGAAAAAGGGTGCCTTAGTTTGAGTTGATGTTCGGAGTTGCGATGGCTGTATCGCACGTGTTTGGGTATTTCGAATTTTTGTTATATTGACAAATGTTGGAGCAAGAAGAGCTTAGGGGAACGCGCCATCGGTCGAGTCTTATCGCGTGTGTTAAGCGTCTGGGTTGCGGACTATAGGTAGTAGCCTTGTAGGGAACAAACGAAAAGTACCTATGGCTTGGGGTGGTCGTGGAATATAAGATTCCTGCCTGATGGGAGAAGGCATTAAAAATTTCGGGCAGTACGTCCCTTCAAAAGCCCGGTCCGTCTTGTGCGATTGCCACACGGACACAGGATTCAAGCATGTACAGCAATGGGTCGTCCCCACGAGACGCTCTGTTCCTGAGGAGCACCAAATGAGTTAGTAGGGAAGGCCCAGGGACTGATTCTACGTCAAGCATAATGCGGTGATCAATGACAAGGAGGGGTCCCCCGGCACACGATCTGGACGAGTACAATGCTGCAAGCCCTAAATCGTGAGTGGCTGCTGATGCAAAATGAGATGGCATGAGGTACTTCGCCCGGCTTGCGAGGGGCCTGTGGGGCTCGGGGCGTGCGCGATCCATGCCATCGTCGTTTATTTCTAGAATGCCGCCAGAAAGATCTCCAACGCCGTTGCAGGCGCTGCAGGAGGGATCCTGGCGCAGCGTGGTGGCCAGGAGATGTGCATTGAGGAGGTTCTGAATCGGCTAGCGACACGGCAGGGGCTCGAGGCAATTCCCCAAAGAAGGAGCGCTACGAGTGAACGCCGTATGCCAGATTGATTGAGACACAGTCTATCAGACGCGGAGCCAGGACCGCGCTGGCGGGAGAGCTACTCGGGTCATGCTCGGAGGCGAATGGGTCAAACGGCCTGTCAGAAGCGTGCCGTGACGATGATGGCATTTTTCATGGCAACTTAATGGCCTACCGCGCCTTGTGCCTCAGTCGACGGCACTTTATGCCTGGAAGAACCTTACCCGGCTCAGGGCCCCATGGAGCATGATGGTGCTTGCAAAGAAGCGGTACTCGGATCAGGGCAGGACAGTTGCCTCTGCCGGCATTTACGCAGCCGTAGCACCCGCCTGTAAGCAGTGGGACCGAGCGATGGCAGGGCTCTCGGTCATGGTTCTCTAACGCATAGGCATTACTGGCCTCAGATTGGCTCATGCGTGGGCCGTTTCAAGGTATAGAGTCAGGCCCTGCCCTATATGCGCTTCGTCATCCCCCATGAGTTGGGATCTACCAGCCACAGAAATGTCCCGACGCCCGCATTGGATGGCGCACTCCGGCGTACTGCAGAAGTAGCGGGCGTACGGAGTGCTGGTGGCGAGCAGAGATGGGTACTGCGGAGAATATTGATGGATTATACCTGAGACAGGTGCAATGTGCTGAGCATGGCGATTGAGGCGGTGGTGGTGGGGAAAGGAGCGCGCAAGCGACTCGAACTCGACGTGCGACGCTAAGATTCGGGAACGATTCCACTCAAGCGGCCGGGATCTGCCCGCCTTCGAGCCTCGCATACATCTCATCTCTCGACTGCATGGCCGACATGGCATCGTGAGTCCAATGCGCCACCCATACTGTCGCCCTCAGGCACGCCATCCACGGCTGCGCTTACTCCGAAGTTGCTACCTCATCCTTCCAGAGCCTGGGTACCGAGGCCACCACCAACCGCCTCACGTGACGAACGACACGACAGACGCACTCCCCGGCTGGCGGCTGGGTTTCCCCTGCTTCTGCAACCATCGCTATGACCTCACCGCCGTCTCCATGTATGACATTCAGGTCTAGCGATGGTCTGCCAACCTTCAAGTACTCGACCAACGGCGCATTACCCATTTAGGCTGTTGCAAGCCATTGCGAACTATAGGCTCGACGGAGATGCACGATGCAGCCCTCACCACGCTCCCTCCAACAGACGGCGCAATTCGCGACCATGCTGCCATGTCATGTGGCTGGCGTTGTGAGCGGAGCGCGTGCAGCGCACGTATATGGTGAGTAGAAGCGCGTCGCGTCGAACCCTGTGGGCGACCAAGCATCCCCGTCGCGCAATCTACTCTCGACCTGACGGCTACGCCCAAGCGCGTCTTGGACGAATATCGCGCCCATTGCGATGGTTCGGTAGCATAGCCGGAGCGTTCGTCTGGTAACCTGCGCCGTCACACGTGGCCATCGTAGCTAGGATCGCCTACAACACCGCTGATCGCAGAAGAAAACTGGTGATCATCCTCTGTGCAGTTGCTACACCGACACCAGACCGCCTAGGTGTGCTACAAATAGTACAGCTGCTGGCCGCATCTACAGATCGGCATGCGGCAACACGGAGATGCAGAACGTTGAGGTGTGGCGAAAGCGATGAAACATTTGATCGAACCGCTGCAGGCTACCGAAACCAACCGTTCGTTGACGTGAAACGATAACACAAGCAAGATCGGCCAATGGCCCTTGAACAAACCATGCTTTGGGATGCTTCCCCCACGTTTGACAGACGGTTAGGTCATGGGTAGTTTGCCGATTATTGCTACGTAAAGATATTCGATATTATGTCCAGGATGGAACCACCCTTAGCAAGACCATTACCCGATTCTGAAGCCAGAGAAAAGTCAATAACAGTAGTCAGCTTTGCCGAAACTCCTAAGCGTCTTTTGGGAAAAGAGGAGGCGACTAATTCCTTGTGCCTCCGCTGCCGAGAACCACGTCCGGAAACACCAAGAAGGACGAACGGATGCCCACAGCAGTTTTGCGCGTGCGATGCTCGATCAAGATAGGAAAGCTGGTATCATAAAGCGGGCCCTACCGCACTAATCCCGGAAAGATGCAGACTGTGATCATAAGTGTCGTTCAGTACTTGCCGCCAAAATTCTCTTTCGCGTACTGTTCGCATGCCTGGTGTACATCAGTACGAGCGCTTGCACACAAGAGAAAACATGTAACAACAGTCGAGACATACTTTGGCAGGTTTGCCGACCTTCTGTCCTATGACCTTCCATTTGTTGGCGTCATACTCCTTGATGGCGGCAAGCAGCGCAGCGCTCTTCTTACTCATCAGCACACTCTCTATTAAACATCACAGCAACTTTTAACTCACTTCATCTTCAGCAAACTCGGCGTAGTGCATGTCCTAGTAGGTACGTCAGAGTGTGCGCAGTGGAACGACGCTCATACCATGTCTACCTTGTACCAATGTTTCTTCACGCTCCCTTCTGTCCGCTGTGGGAACGTCTATTGTAGGCCAAGTCAGCTAACTGTTCTGCAGGATCACGACATTTTAGATATCCGGGAAGGCTTCCTCACCTTTGCAATTTCGCTCCAGCTATTCCCAGCATCTCTCATTTGTTTCAACCTCAATTCCTCAGCTGGCGTCCACGGCGTATTTGTCCGACTCTTCTTAGTCTTGGGCTCCTGCGTAGCATCGACATCAGCTGCTGGAGGCAACGCTGCACTACTTGCTTGCGCCTCTGCGCTATCCGATGTACTGGCCATCTGGTCTTGCGACTGTCCGAGCGTTACAGACTTGCGCTTCCGGCTCGTGGGAGATGAAAGTGGTGGCTGAGCGCCAGGGTGAGCTTCTTGATTTGCCGTAGTGAATGGCGCCGCTGGTTGTAAACTAGGCAACTCTGGAGGCGCAGAGTATGGAACGGTTGGTTGCGGGTTCGCTGCGATGGGCGACGGTTTCAGGCTACGCTTGGTGGATGGTGAAGAGCTATCAGGGGACATAAGGTCAGCACGTACGGCAAGGTACCGAGTAGGAGAAGTATCCCAGAGTCGCAGGACGGGGGCAAGATGAGACGGATATAGTGAAAAGACTCACGACATGGCTGCAGATGGGGCGATAAGACGTGGCCAGGCAGACGGCAGCACGAGACAGCTTCACTGGGGAGAACAGGATGCGCCTATAGAGTGTAGTGTCATGCTCGTATATTACAGCTTCAGGACACTTTCAGAGGGTACGACGGCCAGACTGAAGGCAGTCGATCATCATGATATCCAAGGAAGCAAATGGCCTGTCGGTGCGAGCGCTGATCAAGTACAAGGGATACAAAGAGGGTCAGGTTGGCATTTGACGAGCGAATGGGAGGATGGCTTCAGCATGATGGTGGAGGACGAGGGCGACGCTGTGAGGTTAAGTGGCCGGGTGCTAGCGGGGGTGGGCGCCAAAGCTGGGGATCTCAAGTAATGTCAAGTACTAGTACTTTTGAGCTAGTGAATTGAGGGTGGTGGTCGAGGTATAGATACGCGGGGACAGATGCAGACAAGAAGCGGGGTAACAGGCTCTAGGGCCCGGCTCTGATGAATAGGTGGCTTTGAGGTTACGGGGACAGCAAGACGAGTGCTTAGAGGGCAGCGGAGGTAGATTGCGCAGCGCGTGACAACTCTATGCGTCTCCAGCTTCATGCGAGTGATGCGGAGCGCCCCCGATCGGGTGTCGCGACATGATGACCGTGTATTCAGAAGGGCCAGCAGTGTCGGCGGAACTGTCGAAGAGACAAGTGCATGCTGTCATGAGTGTCATGACGATTCCCATGCAGAGTCAGTCGAGTGACCCGACATCATGTCACCGTGGAGTCGCTACAACGCATGTAGAGTGCCGTAGTCGTGATGAATGACGGAGTTGCTGACGGATGGAGTGGGGCAGCGTGCATTGACCGGGCGCTCTTTCCTCGAGTAGTCGCTCGTGCCTTCCAACTTCATCGGTCAACATCACAGCGCGCGAAGTCACAATCGTCATGGCGAGAGTCGCACAAACACGACCACATCACACATCTCCTCCGTTGTCCAATTCATCTCACCAACATGCCCTTCACCGCTCATAGCGCCCTCATCACTGCAGAAATCGTGCTGCAATTTAGCCCGACTTCAATCGTCGCCGAGTGCGAGCCATCCCTGTCTTCTCCACACTGCCACTGCAGCAGCGGCTTGCAACAGTCGTGCCAAACAAGCAGCCATTACGCTCATCACCACTGCTGGGCGCGGGGAAGACAAAGGTAATCGACGTCCTGATGCTCGACCAAGGCCATCTTTTCGTCATGGGTCTGAGTGCCTTTTTTACCAGGCTCCGCTCCGCATTCAAGCCAAGCTCCTTCTCCAGTTGCCTGACGCAGCGCCAGTATCACTACAAGCCACAAGCGTTTGAGGGAACCGCTCTGCCACAGCCTTACCACTAACAACCTATAGCAGCACTTGTGGCCTGCCAAGCGCTTCGGCCTTATGAAGAGCCTGACCTGTTGATGCTGTAGGCGGAACACGACCCATCCGAACGTAATCGTTTCGTCCGTCTCACAGCGTCGTCATCTGCATACTTGTGTGTTGCGAATTATCTCCACTCGTCGTGTACTCGGCCCTTTTGCAATGAGCCTATTCTCTGGCAAATGTAAGAGATATCGTCGTTGATATTGCTCAAAAGCCCGTCGCCAATGTTGTTTGTCACTGCAAATGGTAGACCGCCGGTGCACAGTCCTCCCCGCAGCCTGTCACAGCACCGACTGAGTTAGCGCCCGCCGTCGCTTCGGCACTGGTCGCTGCTTGTTTCCAGCTTTCCAAACATTGTCAAACCTCGCGCTCCTTCAAACCTGCTCCAAGTCCGACGCGCGCGGTTTTGAAACTGCCCCCGTAGCCCCAATGAGGCTGAGAACCTTATGCGTCCCGCTCTAGATCTTCAGAGCCCCAGGCAACGATTTCGTATGCAACTTCATGTCCGTTCCACTTCCGGCTTAACATGTCTCGTGTCAAGGTTCTTCTAAACATTTTGGCTGCGAACGCCGTCTATGCCCCATGGCGCCGATCAGGAATCGAGTTGCAGAGGCGACGGTTTGAAAACGTTGCCAATCTCAGAAACTGCCACTGCTAATCGACCTGGTCTGTGGCCACTGACCGTCCCGTTTCTTGACCACTGTCCAAACTCTATAATTACTCCGCTGCCCCAAGTTTCGAGGCCTCAACCGCATCTGTTCAATCGGCATCTGTCTTTTGTTTTTTAGCAGCCTTGTAATACTCTCGTTTTCTTCCCACTGGTTTGGGCTGCACTACATTCACTTAATCAACATTGCTGAGCAATTACCTTTTTACCGACACACTGTGTAATACTTTCTTTTCAGAGCCAGACTCGATCACGACGAACAGACATCCCTAGTGGACACGACTCAACGACTCCTACCACCAAGTACAACCATCATCAACAATAACAGCAACATACTATCACCCCATCAACACACTATTGTCATCATGATGCATCATCAGCCCCAGATTCTCTCTCCTCTCCCAGAGATGAACTCGCAATCCCCTGACCCTTCCAGCCTTCGTGCTCGCAAGATGTCAGCCGGTGGTAACAGGTCTTGGTCTGAAGAAGAGGTATGCCAACTATTTCGCACCTACCGAGCACTTGCTAACATTGGCTAGGAAACCTACCTTCTCCAGACTCGCATGCAAAAGATGCCCTACAAGCACATTGCAGCACATCTCAAGAAGACCGAGCTTGCATGCCGCCTGCACTACCACCAGCTCTCGCACGGTAGCCATCGCCGCAAGCGTACCAACTCCGTCTCCTCCAACGCTTCATGCAGCTCGTCCGGTACTGCTCCAATCTACTCTATGGCTGTCGAACAAGACGCCTACTCTCAATCTTCTCGCCACAGCTCGCCTATGAGCTACTCTGGCAGTCCTCATGTTCGCGCCAACTCCATCACCACCTCCCCAGGCCGATCTCAGCACAAGATCCTTCTTCCCAAGCCTCGCACCCTCACTCCTCGTGGTTCTCCAGAGCCATTCAACGGTCTCCGCATCAACACCGAGGTAGCCCATCAGCCCAAGATCGTCGACACTGACCGCCTCCGCTCCATCTACGAAGCCCGCCGTCAGCAATTCTGGGCTACGGTCGCCGCCGACTACGGTGCGGATGTTTCCCCCGCTCAGCTCGAGGAGATCTGGCGCAACGGCTCCAACGCCGTTCGCCCTCCTACTCCCGATGCCTCGCCCGATGGTAGCATCATGCACAACCCCATGTTCAAGCCCAACCCCTTCCCGACTTACATCTCGCCGGCCCAGAGCGAGCCAGCGAAGCACTACAGCCCCATGAACCCAATGGACATTAGCGCTGTTTCGGCTCCAGAGCGTATGCCGTATGTGCTGCCAATGCCGGTCCCTTCCTCAGGCCGCGCGAGGGCTGGTACTTGGAGCTCGGCGCCGAGGGACAACATGCCAATTGCTAGCCTCCTCAATGATGATAGGAAATAGATCTTATTTCGTCAAATTCCTGTACTTGTTGAAATCTTTCCTTGGGCTTTGGGATCGGTATGGCACGGGCAATGACTTTCTCCACTTCTCTACTTTCGTTAATTCGCTATTCAATCAACTCTTTTTTTCCTACCATCTTCTTAACGGCTCGGTGGTATATGTGGGAACTGGTATGGTATGCATGGTTATGAGACATTGCACGTTTCGGATTATCCACGCAGGAGTTGTTTACATTTGTCATTCTGGGCTTGGCGTACTTGGGTAACTTGCATCTACGCGCTTCACTTTCTCACGATAGTTCGGCATTCATCTTTCGCGGTACTTGGTAGCGGTAGTGAATGGAATAAAAAAATCCACAATTTCAATCTCCACATAGCTCTAGACAACTCATTGTGATGTGTACTTTCAACGAGCATTACCCTTGCGCATGTTTAGTCCTGATATCTCGCTTGCGGTACTTGCCTTCTTAATCCGGCCTGTTAAGCGAGGGGTGTCAAACACGACAGTCCACCTCACCTTCTATACATCTGCATACTCGTTATTCACCACAGTATGGTGTAGTTACTACGTTGAGGAGTTTGACTTCCAACACAGCATCTATACTAGAGCCATCACAAGTCGCCTTTCAACCATCTGGACCACTTGCATAAAAACAGCATAAACCACTTCCAAGCACGATATGGTCACCATTATGGATTTCACATACTTATGTAACTTAACCGTTCATCAACCGATCTTGACAGCGGCAGCCTTGTGACCCAAGCCGCCTATGGCAGTGAACCGTACCGCAACCTTAAGGCATATACACCATCTGCCGTCCGGTGAAACAGTAACGGAACATTCCGTTTCGCTGTGCGAAGCGAACCTTGCGTCTAGATTTTCCTTTCCAACTAGTCGGCCGTTGAGATCGTTCGCTTGTTCGTTGCGGCGACCTGACCAGGTGGGGTGCGTGTTTGGTAGTTGAAACGTTTTCCACCGCACTAGGTGCTTTTCGCAACGGCTTGGTAACGGCACTACGGGTAATATTGTCAGCTGACATGGCAGATTGTATCGTGAAGCTGCCAACTTTTGTTTGACAACGATGATAATCGAGATATGTGGTTCGAGTTCATGCATGTGCGGCCAAATGTCAATGCATTGTGGTAGTATGGTTACACGTGATGAGGTAAAGTGGATGCCAACATACGCGTCGTCCTTCGCACTCTGCATGTCGCCAAAGAGTACTGTCAATCGTGGCAAACCTGTTAAGAATTCCAAATAATACATCTTAGTAACAAGAGACATGATTTGCGCAAAGGTTCGGCATGCCGTGTTCCTATTCTTGAACACAGACCCCATGTCAGCTTTGCACATCTCCCGCCGTCCCGCGAACGTCATTTGACTCGCTCCTACCGATCCTATTAAAAAGCGCCACAGCCCGTCCGTCCGCCTAGCATCTTACCAGTGCGTTTTGTGTAATTTCCCAAATCTTAGGAAATTCATGCCTTATTGCCTGAGAATCCTCCCATGATCCTTTCCCTCGGATCCCTGCAAAACACGCCATCTCATCGACCAAAGATCCTTTCGTCCCATCACCTTTCCCCACCAACTAGCTCGGGGCCCAAGCTGAGTCAATTTCCATGTCCCTGGTTCACGCATATGCCGAGTTCTTATGCAGATCCACGCCCCGGTGAGTGTGGTTGGGCCCGCCTCTGTGGACACTTCAGGGTGCGTTTGGCGATATTTATGCGAACTGGGATTGAGACCTAGTAGGGATCTGTGAGCGCCTTAGTTTCGAGGCGCATAAGTGTGGCGTGTAAGCGATGGATGCGCGCGATGGAATGGAAGCCTTGTAGGGCTGATAGAATTTTGCTGTATGCAAGTCTGAGGGGAAGATGACGTTGAAGGAAGTGGTGACTTCGGTGATATCCGTGATGCGTGTGCGTACATGCATGAGTGAGGGGTTCTGGAAGTGTGACCGAAGCTTAAGATGTATGCATGGGGCGATGGGGATCGGTATAGTCGCCTGATACGTACAAAACGTCCTTCTCCGGATCCGGAGGATGGTTGTCGGACCGTGTAGTAGTAGTTGGGTCAATCAGCGCTCGTGACTCTTCAATGCGACGTAATCGCTCTGACTATCTGGGATCATGTTTGGCCGATAGTACTCCCGAAAAAAACATGTGAGTTGTGCAGCGATCGCGGCCCTTCTCATCAGGGGTTGGATTGTGACACCGTCTCTTGCCTCTCTTCCTGACTAGTCTCGTTGTTTGGTTGCGACCTTCTCCTGTCCTCTGGGTCCTGGTCACCCTTTCCGGCCTTCTGTTGATGCTTACCACTTCCCTCGATATCATTCCTTAGCTCTGCTTCTTCTTGTGGGTCTTCTGTACCCGTCGCGCTGTACTCTTGGTCCATACGATGCATAAGCTCTTCGCCAGGTAGAAGAATACTTCGATCGATTGCCAGAGGCAGGCCACGATGCCTACCACGCAGCATCGCAGCCATCAACACGACTTTGCTCAAGCTCGCAAAGTCGCCACTTAGACTGTAGTTCTTGCCCGGTACACCGAGGCTCAAACCGACGGTACCATATGCCGATGTGACTTCGAACAGAATCGAGAAGATGCTGAACCCAGGATCTGCCTTGTTGATATGTCCTCGCTCAATGATACATATCAAGAAGAAGACGAAAAACTGAAACCAGATGTCGTAGGAAAGCTGTTTCTGTAGATGTGATGCGATTCCGGCAGCACTACTATCGTGCTCCTCTAGTCCAATCGACTTCTCTTCGTACGTGTTCGTTTTGCGCAGCACCAGCGTCATCGGGTAGATGGAAACGTACATGATGACTAGATATGCCACCAAGCACGCTGGTGCGAGGGAACTCATGTTGATGATGTATGCGCCGCTGGTACGTAGTCCGCTAGCCATGAAGAGACCATCCACTACCCGAGTGCCAGTGGAGAGGGCTTCAACATCTGGCATGCCGATGTTCAGAATCTCAAAACAAAGCCAGGCCGTGATGTCAATGCCGAGTTGGACAGCAAAAAGGTATACTGTTTCGCGCTTCGGGAAAAGGTATATGAAGCAACGTCGTGGATGTTGCAGGAGAAATTGCATCGTGTTCCTCATACGAGAATTTCTTGGTAACAACTTCTTCATGATCCATATAGTAATGCGGAGTAGAATCGGGAATTGTGTCTGACCAGCGAATGCCAAACATGCAGCGGTAAGTAGGACAAACCAATTACCGCTGAAAGGGATGAAGTTGGCATTGAGCACATTGAGTCCACCATTGGCAAACTCAGTCACTGTCGCAAAGAACGCCCACCATCCCGGGTTGATGGCCCCTGGTTGGTTCTCGTATAGTGTATTCTTGGTGTCGCCTCGATAAGCGTATGGTAGTAAGAAAGTAATACCCAGTAGGTACCAGAAGATCTGGTAACCTACCAGGATGAGCAAGAGAGTTTGTAGTGCGCGATACTCTACACCTCCGAGTTCCATACGATCTTGCTCGCTAAGCTCTCGAAAGCGGCCTTTGGAGTCGAGATGAGGCTTGAAAGAAACGTAGTCGTGTTTCTCAGGCTTCAGCTCTGTTGAGAAGCGATCCAGTATGCGACTGAAAAAGTTGCGAGCTGACTTGATCTCCCATGGCGTTGGTATAAAGCCAAATCCGGTCTCGTAATGAAATGTCCTTCTTCTAGACACAGGCTTTATCTTCACGTGCGGCGACTCATTCTTTCGTCGTCGCGTACTCTTTCCTGCTTTGTTTTGTTTTCCGTTCGCTCGCTGGCGCACGCTCTCAGCACTACTGCTGCTCTCGTTTCGATCCGAATTGCTGTTCTCAATGTCTCGCACTAGTCGTTGCATTGTATGCGAATGCTTGACGACGTCTGCCATCTTCTTGCGGAATAGCGCTCTTCTAATTAGCACCACAGCCGTCGAGACAAAAGGGATATTGCCAATCATTAGCAGAACGGCGAACCAAGCCTGCTGAAAGCCGGAGAGATCTCCGAGGTCAACCGAATTGAGCCCTGCACCTATTAGCCTAAGGCTTCATTATTGTTTGACGGAAACACTCACCTGTAGTGGTCATAGCACTGCAGGACAAGAACAGCGCATCAGTGTAGGTTAAGTGCGCTCCTTCAACCTCTTTCGGTCCATTAGCAAGACCCTGCCCGTAGACGATGACTGACGAAATCGCGATGACGATGATGAAGTACAGCATATGCGCGCGATAAAAGTTCAACTTGAAAACCTCCTCTTTCAAATACTTCAGAAAATCATTCTTGACCTGTCGCGGATTGCGCAGCTCCTCGATGGGGTCGTGCATCTCGTTGTCGTCGTCGAGCCGCAGCCACGACGAGCTCATAATCGGCTCCCGTGGTGGAGTATATACTTTGCGGTATTTATCCAAGACTTTCACTAAAGAAACTACCGGAATTCGTGGCGTGGTAAGATAGCTGGACCTTGTAGCAAGTAGGCTGTGTTGCTGTGCTGCCCAGGCAAAATCATGAGGAATGATGTCACCGAGCTGTCAACAACGAATCCCGCGACGGAAGCGACGCATCATCGTGGGCGCTACAGCAATGCTTTGGTCGATCTTCAGGTCCGCGGGGTTTTCGATTGGTTCTCATACTCACAGGTAAGTCGGTGTCAGATTGCACGTTGTCCCACGCAGACGTGGTGGTGTTTCCGCAGCGGTCCGGAACATGTTGTGATAAGATGCCGGAATTCCTGTGCATCCGAACATGTTTGCTGGGATCATCCATACCGTGCTACATCTCAAGGTCGGGCGTAATCATTTGGTCCTCTTGTGTTCTCGCGCTCGATTTGCGATTCGCAATTAGTTGGCTACAGTGCTGTCAAATTGGACTTCGAGTCGATTGATTAACTGGTTACGCGCGCGAGTTCACTCCGATCACCATTGATGCATGCCGGGCCATGCCACAGCCATTTTTTGAACATGACACAATCGAAATACATATCCGTATGATTAGGCTAAATCTTTGTGAAGCAAGATACATTTTCATGTGAGAAATGGAGCGACGTACCCGACTAAAAAACACGCCAATCAACTACCCGACTCCTTAGAACGCAGTAACTCTCTCCCACCATTCTACGCAACATCTTCTTCTTCAGTCGTAACAATTTCGATCTTCCCTTGCTCAAAAACCTTCCCATCCCCGTTATTCTCTAGTATCTTCTGCTTCTCCTTACTAACGACCTCTCCATCCTCATCCACCCTCTCAAAGAAAACCCCGACACGACTCAACTTCCAATGACTCCACCTCATCGCCGTCTGACTCCACCCACCTAAACTGCCAAAACAAGTACTGATCCCCACAAATCGCTCTCCCTCCACTGTCTTCCTAACCCACCAATCTTTGCACCCTGGTAGTCCAAAATAGCCAACACGGCCAGATTGCGTAACGAGCTTAAGAGCACGATACTGATGCTCGACATGGACTTCGGTGATGGATTCGTTATTCAGGGGAAAAGCAATGTTGTCTTTTTCATAAGATGGCTTGAATGCACCGGTCATTGGATCATATTGCTGTGAATTTTGCCTTAAGAGGTCTGTCCATAGCTCTCTAAATGTTTCCTCATGGGGATTCATATCAAGTGTCCAGCGAGGATGTTGGGCTGGGGCGGCGGTTTGACAGCCGACGAAGGAGTTTTGATTGCTGTAGATCTTCGTGCGGCCAGAATGAATGGCAGCAATTTCGTGGCTGGACTGGAACTGGTAGGATGGGGATGTCGTGTTGGTGCATGAAGCTTCTGTCCCGGGGAAGGGGCTAGTGATAGGGCAAGTGGTCGTTGTTGCGCTAGTCGAAGGCACCGATTCTTTTGCTGATTCTCCATCTACTGTCTGATTGGGCAAGTTAAAGATGGTCGCTCCACCAGGCTGAAAGACTTCAATACAGGTTTTGTTCCATAGGAAGATATCGTGCGGTATCATCTCCTCGGGCGGGTCGAATGGTGAAATGCGAGTTGACATAGGGAAGAGAGCGTGATGGTAAGAAGGATGTGACCATATCGGATATTGTCTCTGCTGGTAAGGAAGACGCGTTAGATACTTCCAGAATAGTTGCTGAGTAGTGTCGTATTGTAGCCGGGCGGTTGTTGCTGAGTCCAGTCTGGAAGCTTGGAGAAGACCGAGGCGTGAGATGGCACCGTTCTGATAATGGTGTCAGCAGCGGCTTGCGAATGAGAGAAAACAACGCTACGATATCTAGTGACTTACAGAAGCAATCTGACCTGTTAAACCCACTAGATGCATGTTGTCCAACACCACAAGCGGCCTCTGAGAGGTGGCAAGGCGGTGATTCATTACAGACTTTTCTCTTCCAGTAGTCATTTTTATCTAACTTTTATCAGTACCGCTGCTCGTGGGTAAGCATAATGCAAAACGTACCTGCAAATCTCTGATGAGACAAGTTGTGAGTGACTTTACTTCCTCAGGTCTACCATAAGTGCTCCAATCATAATTAGGGCTATTGCGGCTGAATATATCAATCTCGTCGATGTCGCATATGATTTGGTTGATCCATTCCCCTCGCTCGATATGTAATGGACGTCCTAAGCTCCCCTCGGCACTGCCAAACAGTCGCCTTTGTCCACCCAACGTGATGGAGATGCCAACTAAGAACAGGTTTTGCGAAGGATCGTGTCGCCAATACGTGTCGAGGACACAGGACCGATGACCAATCTCGTACCATGCGTGAACGAACCGTGCAGAAGTGGTCTCCGAGTCATTGGGTGAAGGGTACATTGTCATAGGTGTGGACAAGCAAACGGAGGCCTCCAAAATCGCCTTCGCTTCATCTGAATTTTCTGGTTCAGCGGGCTCGACGGGGCCTACTAATCTCTTATAAAGCGAGGCTAGTGGTTGACAACACTCCCAGATTCTGCGTCGGTTCGCTATGTGCATAAGCGGTCCCTGATTCCCGATATCGGGACGGGTCAGTGCATCAGACCAGAGAAAGAGGCTTTTGTAGTCGGTTGCATCGGTGCTGGTATTCTCGACGAAATGACCGAGTTCGTTGAACCATGGTAGGATACGAACGTGTATCATATGTTGCCAGAAGGCAGCTTCACGCGTGTAGCTGTTGACGTGGTAAGAAGCTTTCATGAATGATAGCATGTCCTTTGTGTCCATGTACCCGATAATCTCAAGGAGAATGTCGTATGGGAGAATTTGGGTCGGGTCGCTACGGACTTTGTTCGATAAGTCCAAGACCTCCGTAGCTCTATTCAAAATAGAGCCGGATAACAACTCTGGAATCTTTCCCCTGAGAGAGAGTCGAGGACCAGGATCACATACCACGTACTCCTCGCCCGGCACATTTACCCAGAATTGTTCATGTGCCATGCTATACCCATATTTCACGTCTAGAGCCGGTCTTTCATCCACCAGATGGGCTCTCATAACCTCCCACATCACATCTTTGTTGACTTCGTGTCCCTTTTCATGTCCCATGCTGTTGGCGAAGATATTGAAGCAGGCCTCGTGGAAAGGAAAAGCCATGTTCTCTTCCCCATCGGAGTACGCTGTGACGTCCAACACAGACACATTAGCATCGTTCGGATCTCGTCCAGCTTTCCGGACCACAAACGTGCCGAGTCCTTCGTAACGACCCCTGCCAGAAACATAGGCTTTGGGGTTTTCAGGGTCAGATTTATGATTGAGAGCCAGTGCGCGGCTCCGATTGAGCCACAGCAAGTCTTCTCGCGAGATCAATCTAGGGTCGAAGCTGTCCTCATCCCATTCGATAGCATCATCTTTGAGAAGGACCTCATCGAAATCAAAAGATAAGTCAGAAGTTTGTGACCAACTGTCACTGTCTCTTTCTTCCGTAGGCTTGGGCTCGGGGGTGCGGGGTCGCATAGCCACATCTGTAATCTCAGTTGCTCCCGCAAGCAGGTCGAAGTCGTTGCTGTCGACAGACTCTGTATCTTCAGAATATTCAGAATTTGAGGTTCCGTGCTCATCCTCAAAATCAGAGCCTGTATCATCTTCGGTTTGTTTTTGTAATTCATTGAGCCGCTTCTTCCTGGCTTCGTCGTCAGGCACATCTTCCGCTCCGCTGTCATCTTCTTCACTCTCGGTGTCCGACGAGCAAGAGTTCTCTTCAGCACTCGTGTCAGCTAGCCTCCCCGTTGCTATACCAACATTGCGATCCCTCTTGCGCAGATTCTTTTCCTTCATCGAACCAATTGTGACAGCCTGGATCTCTAACGTGCCCGCGCACAAGATACAGTAACAGTCGTAGGAGCCCATGATAGACAGGTAGGGCTCTGAAAGAAAGTGAGATCCTGGATACTTCGGATTGAAGGATGAAGTGGTCAATTAGATTAGAAGTGTTAGGGGTTGTATTAACCAAGCACGGTTAGCGCGCCGCCATCTTCACTATACCCGAAAGCGTGACTGCAGCCTTACGATCCCAGACATGATTTAGGCATCACACGGCAAGATCCGCAACGTCCACAACCATCAACAACGGGCTGCCCACAAGACATTATGAGATGGACAGGGGGATGATTCAAAAAGCACGACAAAGACAGCTTCAGGACGGGATGCAGGTTGAAAAGCATCCACCGCCGCAGCGCTTCTTGGGTTCTTTCGATTCAACAACTCTATAAAATAGGATCGTGAGCATTAATCACAATATACAAGACAAAAGAGAGAACATGACACCGGATTATGGGTAGGATAGGCATCTATGACAGCCCTTCAGAGGAAAGAGAACTCACGATTGTGCATCATGGAACTCATCCTCCTGCTGCGTCTCACTATCTGTCCTCCGTAGAAGGTCGTCCTTTCGTGGCTCTGGCTCTGGGTTCGAATTAAGGAGCTTGCTTGGCGGCAGTTCACGCGAAATGACCTCCCGGTTCTCGGGTGAGATGGTAGTGGGTTGCGGCATGGGCTTTTGGAGAGGTATCGTTGGGGGGTTGCTAGGATCGTTGGGGATGCTGCTGTGTTTGGAAAGCGGGGCATGAGTGGTTGTTGTTCCGTCGAAGTTGCTGGGAAGACCTACGCTCGAATCTTGTTGTCCTGGTATGACTGCTGGCTGTGATTGCACACTTGAGGGTTCGGACGGCACGGGCTGCAATGTCTCCGTAAGTGCTGGCTGTGCAGCCTCTTGTGGCTGCGGTGGTGGTGCATCATTTGCCCGCGAGGGAATGTTGAACTGCTTTTCTGGCTTTTGACCGGGCAAGATGGCATATATCTGCAGGATTTGTTTGACGACCTCATCGGGGGTCTTGCCATCACTAAATCTTGTCAGCACTTATTGCATACCCAGGGACGATGAGTACTGACATCTTGGCGTTGATGATCCAGTCAAGGTCTTCTTCGCCTTCCTCAGGACCGCCATGACCACCCTTTACACGTCTGAAAAGCTGTGGATGCCAGTCTACACCCTCGCTGTTTCGTTTCGCAGCTTCCTGCCTCTGCATGTCTTCAATCTTTGCCTTAGCATCGGTTGCTACATCCTGGTCCCTCCGTTTTACAGCCTCGCACACATCGTGCCAGAGCTTCTGCGATTCGCGGTCGTTTTGTTCTTCGAGAGGTCGAGCCGAAGGTGGGGTGTGTTTGGTATGTGCTGCATCGAAAAGTAGCTCTTTCTTGCCAGTCTATGAGAAATTAGCACATATTCGAACAGTGAAGCAACCGAGACCTGCCGTCAAGTCCTTGATGTACATCTCCTCGTTCCACTGGCCCGAGAGTTCGTACAAGTTCTTCCCGCTAGAGTCTTTGATGTAACCACCAATGGCGTTGTATGTTCCACTGAAATAACCCTTGGTTTTGAATTCGAGATCAGCAGTTAGTCCTGTCTCAGGGCATCGAATGTATGCGTGGTCGCCAAGTTCGTACTTCATCGTGCCGAATAGTATTCCGCGCGCGTACATGTTGGGTTGTGTAACGAAGCTGACTGTAGTGAGCTTCGAGACGTGTGATATCTGGGCTCGACTTACAATCGTTCGCCGGTGTTCAGGAGCCGCAGGACTGCAATACCCTCCATCATACTGGCGGCTGAGTTACCCAGGAACTTGCTTCGGGGCTTGAGGGTACCGTCGATGCGGATGTTGTGCTCGGGTGCCATGAAGAAGTAGCTTGACTTGGGCGGGTGGTGTGACGTTTGTTCGGAGATGTAGTAGCCCTTGGTGCCGTCCGGGTAGTCCCAGTAACCTGTGAAGACCTCACCCAGGATGGGGTTGAGCGGCTTCTTGACTCCCCTAACTCACATCAGTTGTTGCTTATGGGCGCGAGAACACAATGGATATGCATACGGGGGCTTGATGTGCCAACCACTTAGGTAAAACTTTGTCACTGCTACAAATCGCTGCACTGGGTCGTCGACCTTGGTAATGGGGAGGAGTGTCTCGGGGTGTGCCATAAAGCTACCCAACGGTCAGCACTGCGGCATGGTCATACGTAGTACGTGTAGGAGTACTACACACTTTGTTATGCGCTCCAGCATCGATCGCGGCTCGAGAATAAAGGTGGGAAGCGTCACGCGGCTCAAGTCGGCACCAGGTCGCAGTTGCGATATGATGTGAGAGAGCATGTTCCCCTGCTCCGAGTCCATGACAGTCTCGTCCTCCTTGGTAGTTTCGTCGCCGCCATCGTGTCGTCGTGTCTCGTCTATCGAGGATCCGCGGCTACCTAGAAAGTTGGGCATGTATCAGCCTCGATTTGTGCTGGAACAGAGTCGGAAGAGTCGGTACGACCGGAACAAGGGACATGACGCACTGTTGACCGACGACCGGCGGTGCTTGGAGACTATAGGGAGATGCGGCATCGTGGTTGTTCGCCGCAAAAATGAGAGAGAAGGAGAAGAGGGAGGAGCAAGTCTTGGAGGCGAGGTGGCTAGGACCAGGCAGCCAGGTGTCGGCAGAGGTTGTCTTGGTGCTTCGGGTGCCGGCGAGAGTGAGCTCTAGTCTCAGCAATGACGATGGGCGCTTCACAAAAACTAGCGACCCCGCGCGTTGAACTTGTTTGGCGGCAAAGTGTAAACATCAACAACGCTCGACTGTGGAAAGAGCATGCAATGAGGAGACTCAAAGGCCAGGCGACATGGCATACAGTCTTTTGCGCATTCATGTGACTTGCCCTAATATAGAGATCGCCAGGCTGTGTTTCTGCACATCTGCTGCCCCGCAGTCGGCACATGTCAGTGCACCATACGAAGTACGCGACACGCGCATGCGGCACGGCTCGGAGCAGTCTTTGTTTCCGAATACTCTCTACCTGCGATTCCAGGAACAGTGGCTTGACATGGAGTGGAGCCCGGGCCGCTTGTTTCTTCGACGTGGACAGAGTACCCGGTTCTAGTACGCGTCTGCATTCCGAGTGCGCCGGCGCTGAGAACTAGGAAATCATGACCTCGATGCTCCCTCAAATCACATGCTGTCCTGTAGGATACACGCTATCTGAAATTCGCCATTCGTCTATGGAGTGCTGGGTCTAGTCCAACACGCTCTCGCCAGCCTTCCCTGCGTCTTTCGCGTCCTGGTCCTGCGTCCGCTGCACTTGCTCCTTGACCTTCCGCATTTGCGCGTCGTCCTTACCTATGACCGTGACTCCGGTCTTCTCGTATTCCTTGTGAACCTGTTCCATCACTGACGGATCCACCGCCTTCGTCGCGTCGCCCACCACCCACGTTTTGAAGCCTTCCTTCTGTGCATCAATCGCAGTGAACTTCACGCAGTAGTCGGCTGCAAGGCCTACTACGTACACGTCGGTGATTCCAGCCTTGCGCAGTGTGTCTGCGAGATTACTCTTGGCCACATGACTCTTGAACGGATCCGCAAATGCAGAGTACATCTCCACGCGCTTGTCCTGGCCCTTCTCGACTACATGGTCCACTTTACTGACGTGGAGCTCGGGCAGCAGCTCAGAGCCTTTTGTTCCCTGCACACAATGGTCGGGCCATAGTCGCGTTTCTTGCGTCTCGTCTGGGTTCTCTGGGTTTTTGATGACGAACGTCGATTCGAAGGGTTTGTTGTTCGGCGCGGAGTGATTCGATGCGAACGAGATGTGATCTTGGGGATGGAAGTCTTTGGTCGCGACTTTGAGAACAAACGGATACGTAAGGAACTCGTTGATTGTCGGTACGATGTCGCGTCCACCTGTCACTGCCAGTGCCCCGTTCTGGATTTATCAGTATGAGGCCTTCTCACCACACATGGCCACTCACTGGTGGGCAGAAGTCTTCCTGCACGTCGACGATAACGAGCGCTGGTTTGAAGGCCATGGTTGATTAGCTGTTCGGAAAGAGGTAGATAGGTGTCAGTGGGAGGATCTGTTTAGCAGTTGGTGGGAGTAAGAGGTCTCGAGGTTAGCAAAGATAACGCAGTCGCACAAGACACCTTTATAAGGATTCTTGAACGTCTAAGATCAAAGTAGCGCAGTCAACAGCGCTGCATACATATGCTGTAGTGCCCGTGCAAGCTGTTCAGGAAGGAGCAGTTGATGAATCAACGACTCTCAGGTGTGGCAGCCAATGCAGCCTTCTGTGGCATGCCTTACCTAATCGTAGCGCCAAGCCTCTGCCGTCGGCTCGTCAATTCACGACTGAAGAACATCACCAGCTCGATAACCACGCCCACCCTCTCCACTCCACCCAATCGTTCTCGCCATGTTCGTCCAGCGCTCTGCTATCGCCGCAGCAAGGCGTGCGGCCCCCCGCGCCATTGCGACCCGCCGCACCTTCACCACCACCTTTGCTCGCTGTATGTCTCGCGAGGAGCTATCGTACGATGTGCCATTGACACCATAGCAGGGGAGTCCACCGAGAGCAAGGAGGCCAAGGAGAGCAACATTGCGCAGAAGGAGACCGGCCACTCGGCCGACTCCCCCAGCGTCCTCGCCGGCTTCAAGAAGCTCGACCGTATGTTGCGCCCGCACCTCGTCATCCGCACCGCCGCGGCTACGACAGGCCGAAACCATCAATTGCTGACGAGGCCAATTCTGTAGAAATCAAGTCCGAGGCCGACCTTCTGCCCCCCGGTGCGCAGCCCGGTACCGTCCCCACCGATGCCGAGCAGGCGACCGGTCTTGAGCGTCTCGAAATTCTCGGAAAGATGCAGGGTATCGACATCTTCGACATGAGGCCATTGGACGCCAGCCGTCTCGGTACGTTATGCTACCCCCCGGAAGATGAAGGAACATGCGTGTTGCGCGGTTTTAGACTCCCGGTGGTGTGATGTGATGCTGATATACCGCAGGCACGATGGAGGACCCCATCACCGTCAACTCCGCTGGTAACGAGCAGTACGTTGGTTGCACTGGTTTCCCCGCCGACTCTCACAACGTCCTCTGGATCACTCTTACCCGCGAGGAGCCCAAGTCCCGCTGCATGGAGTGTGGATCCGTCTACGAGATGAAGTACGTTGGTCCTGCAGACGACGCTCACGGCCACGACGACCACCACCACGACTTGAACCAATACCCCAGGCCCAAGAACATGGCCGACTTCCTCAAGCCCGAATACATGGAGGTTTAAGCTTTGGTGCTTTTGTCATAGATTATGGAGTGTAGATATATCTATATGGTCGCGAAGACTTGTGGCATAGCTGGAGAGAAGTTTCTTTGAGTTGAATCGTGTGTTCTACTCATACGTCTGTGGTGCTCGTATACTGTCGTCTCATCATCTCTCATACGATCCCATCTCTTTTCACGACCCTTTCAGGGCAATAATACCCAGAACAACGCTTTCAATGTCCTTCTTTTCCTCCGCTTTCCTCCTCTCTACGTCACCACCATTCCCATTAACTGCGCCTCTCTTACCCTTCTTCCCACCATCTCCACCCAATTTGTACACCTTCTTCACCTTGTCGACATCACACCACATACCCAACTCCTCCCCTGTCTCTCCCAACTCAACACTAGTTCCTTCTACCGCACTTCCCAAATGCGAACTTACGCTCTCATTCGTGATACTCTCATCCTTTTCGTAAGTAGACTTTTCATCTGTTAACGCAATGGATGATGGAGACAAAGGTAGTTTAACGGCAATGAGCGCGGTGGTGGTATCGGCGATGCCAAATTTCTTATAGGATTCTCCGATATTGTTGTTGGGTGAGAGGCGAAAAACTAGTTCGGAATGGGGAGTTCGCGTTTTTGCGCGGTGGGTTAAGTGGCCGTGGAGGGCGAGGAAGGTGGCAGAGAGGAGGTGATGGGGTGTGAGTATCTAGGGGGCAAATGTGTTAATATCATGTTGAGGTGCTCAAATTAGTGCTGAGATGAGATGGAGTATCTAGCTAGCTTGACCAGAAGCCATAATGCTTCGCTCCAGCATATCTATCCATGTTGATACGAGGATAAAATATTACACACCCCGTAGGATCTTATCACGAGAAAATAATTAAAGTTCAAGATTGTATCTCAGATGACTCAGCGACCCTGGCATGTCATTGCGGGGGGTGGCTGGCATCATCGTTGATGAAAAAGTGATGCTGGTAACGAGAAAAAGCAATGAACAGGTAGTGAACCATGACCTACCATGGATGCATCCAAGAAGGCATAGTCGTAGTCTGGATTGGCCTCGAGTAATTGACGCCTCAGGAAGGAGGCGTTTTTGACATCCTTGAAAAGAGCCACGTGGACAGGGTAGGCCTCGTAGTGCGGCAATGAGAAGGTTCGCACGGACGCCATGAGGTGCCTTGTGTGTTGGCGTGATTTTGATGTGGGCGTAAGTTTGGGTGTTGATATGCACCAGGTCGGAGTTGGAACCTAGTCGGAAATGGAAGGCCTAGACGAGGGGTTCGGTCGTTTGGAATGTTTCGTTGGTTGCGTGGTAGCGGTGACTGTAATGGATGATGGTCGCCGTGATGTCCCTCTAGATGATGCTAGGCGGTTCGTCAGACCGATTTGCATTGGCAATCTCCAAGGATACCAGATCGTGGGTGAGTCTAAAGCTCGAGGGCCGCTTTGGGCAGGAGCGGGGACGGGCAAGCTATGAGTTAGTCCCAGAGAAAGCAGAACCTATGGCGAATCAGGACGGATCATCGTGTCGATCGGCAACAGAACAAACTAAATTCGCCGAATATGTCAGGGCAGGCACCGTCACAGCCGTCTGGAGGTCAAGGTTTCAAGGCAGTGTGTGGCCAATAAAGGACGGACTGGAGTCGATAGCTGAGGGCTTGCGGAGAATGGGCCTGTTCCCTTGCAGGCATCGCCGAGAAACGCGCTTTCAATCGCACCCTTTCACTCCCAGCGCAGCCAAACCTCACCTCTTCCTTCACTCTCTTCGCAGACCGGACTACAGACTGCTTCAGAGGTCGCGCTGGATCGCCGCGACGCTCAATTCCCCAGCAGCCAGAAAACTCGAGGCGAAAAGTCATGTGTCTTTCGTTTGACAGGTGATAGTCGCAAGCCACCCGAGGCGCACCACCTTTGCTGGGTTTACTTGCATCGGTCTTCTCCATCGGCATTTCCCGTCTCGTTCCTGTTTCGACGTGCATTACGAAAAGTATGGCCACCAAGCGACCCCCGGACGATGACCCCAATCTTGTCTCCAAGATCCAGCGAATCGAGCATCAAGACCCGCTGAGTCCACAACACCGCCCGTCCAACAACAATGACTTTTCCGGCTCGGTCAAGAAGAAGCTCGCCGACTCCAAGCGGACGGGTCAGGCGTGCGATCGGTGCAAGGTACGTCTTACCCATTGCCACGGGGGAGATGGAGATGGAGGCTTCACCAGGTCGATGGGGCAAGTCGCATCGCACAAGCATTTCGTCGCGCCTGCGACGTCATCGCGACGCGCCTTCCTCTTACATGTCGTCCAGCAAACAAACAAACTAACAACAACCACAGGTGCGCAAGATCCGCTGCGACGGCCGACCCGAAGGATGCACACCATGCGAGCAGAACAGGACGCCATGTCGCACCACGGACCGAATCACCGGGCGCGCCACAGTACGCGGCCACGCGGAGGCCATGGAATCGGAGAACTCGTACCTGCGCGCCCACATCGCTGACCTGCAGGCCCAGCTGAAGGAAAACCATATCGAACCCCGAGCGCCACCTGCCTACAACGCCTTGCAACCACCCAGCCATCCATGGTCTTCAGCCTCCAACGACGGCCAAGCTTGGAACGATGGACCGCGGCGGACAAGCACCTCCCCACTACCAGGCTATGTCGCCGCTGGCACTCCGGTCAAGATCGAATCTCTGCCTCAATTCAAGCACGGTTCAATTGGCGACAACTACCTCGGCGTTGCGGCTGGAGATGCACTCCTGAGCCACATCAAGGGCACATCACTGTCAATCTTCGGCACCGAAATCAACATCACAGACTTCATGACGGGCGAGGCTGAGTATGAAAGCTCTCCCATGTCCTACACGACCCTGGTCAATGTCACCATTGGCGGTGAACATGTCGAGGAACCGCCACTACCGGCATATGGCGAGCTGCAAGAGTACGCCATCTGGTATCTGCGGTCACTGAACCCCTACACAATGTTTGTGCACAAGCCTACCTTTATGGAACTGGTACGATACGCTCCTGCCGCCACACGTCATCATGCTAACGCACACAGATCTGGAGATTTGGCAATGACCCCAGCTTCGTCCCTTCTGCGCCCGAGATTGTAGCTGTACATTTGATGCTCGCGACCATTACCTACCAGATTGCGACCCGAAACAACCAACAGAGTGGTAGCACTATGCTAGACGACTCGCATGCCCATTACCTTTATGCGGCGAGCTTCTACAAGGAGCTTATCCGTGGCAATCACGGCTGGCAAGACGTCCAAGCCCTGGGTATGATATGCCACCATCTCCGAAACTTTCCAAAGCCTGGTGCGGCATGGATCATGACTTCGACTGTCTATCTATTCGCAGTACAACTTGGCCTACACAGATCTGTCAAGGTCTGGGCCGACGGCGCAGGGGAACTGACCAAGCTGGATATTGAGATGAGAAAGCGAGTCTACTGGACCGTACACGCGCTACTTGTCAATCTGAACGGGAAACTTGGACGGCCCATACCCATTAGCAGAGATGACATCGACGTCGAATTCCCAGAACCTATGAATGACTGCCTTCCTGGCGAAGGAGCCAAGCTGGACTCGTTTCACCAATGCTCGTTTCAAGTGGGCATTCAAGTTGCCAAATACACCGTCTGGGAGATGGAACTCTACAAGACTATCTATGCTGTGCGGCACTCGCCAAAAGCATACGTGGAGAGCCTGAAACGTCTTGAAGTCGGCATACAGCAATGGAAAGAGGAAATCCCCTACGAGTTGCGCGATCCGTCGCACGCGTCCGAGGACGATCATATTTTTGCACTTTATCTGGAGTACTGGTACCAGGCGTTCAATTTGCTCCTGCACCATCCTGGTGTTTGCAGATCTACTGACCCGGCCATACTCAGTTCCAACTTGGACAAATGCTTAACCGCATCGCAGAAGATGTTGCAGAACTGTACAATGATGATGGAGAAGAAGAGTCTGGACATTCCCTGGATAAACACAGTCGTGTACATCGCCGCTGCATTCACAACTCTCTTCATTCAGTCTATGAGGCAAGATCAGATGTCGCCCGTAGACATGACTAAACTCAAAGCTGACATGTCAGCTTGGGTCAATGTGCTTGGCGAATGCGATCATTTCTTAGGATCTGGGAACAAGCTCAAACATGCCATTGCAAGGATCGTCGATCAGTCGCTTGGTAACATCAACGACAGCATTGTCAAGCGTACTGCAACCGAGTCTCTCGCTCGTGTGGCAATGCAGGCTCCTCGCTCGGCGTCCACTGCCCCCACATATGACAACAGCGGGTATCGGGAACAATATACAACACCATCCAGTGGACCTACAGACCCTACGCTCACTTCACAGTCGGGCGCATACAATAATCTGTCAGGAAGCACCACACATCCATACAATCTCGGAACCCCCATGCCTATGCCTCAACAGACCAATAGGGTTTACGAACAACAAGCATACAGCAGTGGCGATGAGACGAACATGCATGTGAGCCATGCAGCAGCGTTGGCAGCAGCAGCCTCCGGCAGCATTTCGCAGCCTTCTACCGATGCGTACGCCTACGGTAACGCTCAAATTGCCAATAGCGGTCATCAGCCCACATATTCAACCAATGGGTACGCAGCCCAGGACTGGAGTCAATGGACACGAGCGTATATGCAGCCACAACAGGGACAGCCCGGCGAGTACCTAAATACAGCTACTACCCTCATGACCCTGGGCCGAGATTCCGGATCCCAAGGGACCGGAAGTGATGGTCAAGGGCTTGTTCAAACATCTGGGGTTCAGGGCCACGCTCCGAGTCATTGGCCAGAAATCCAGTTCCCGAATGCCGCTAATGGCAGCAACCACATGGCTCAACATTGAGCTGGGAACGATACATCATATAACAAGAAGGCTGTGTACCTTCGGCTAATATACATGGGTATTTGAAACTTTCCGGTCCGGCGTCGTGGCATGGCAATCTTCGATACCCGGCATCTGGACCACTTTGTGGGGTTAATGTAAGATTATATGAAGCGGCTCTTCTGCAAGCTGCACGCTTTGGTAATATTAATTGGAAGACTTCTTTCTTTTGTGTATGATACTGGCTTGGAGAAACAGGGTTCGTTTTTCGGAGAGAGATGGTGACATGACCGACCGGTCAATGTCGGTTAGCTGGTCGTAGATGTGTTGTCACTGGAGGTGTGTTGACTGGTTGCGATGTAGCAAGCAAAGGACGAGATCAATTCGTGAACATGAGAAATAATCATAATTTCAATGTGCGCGCTCCCAGGTCAACGATTGTGGTTATATCATACCAACTGTTTTATCCAACATGTTCTTCTTTGCCTACAAATGTAGATATCGGCCGAACTCGCCACGCGATCTACTTCCACCGTCTTCCAGACCACATCTAGATAGATTGACCGCCGTCTACTACCCGGCCGTCGGCTCAAAGCCACAGTGCTCACCAGACCCTGCGCAAGGCGCATCATTCTAACAATTAAACCTAGGCTAAAGGAGGAAGCCGGCTTGTTCGCTTGGCACAACCCCGCCAATGAACGATTATCGACCTTCCACTTCGCGAACCAAGGCCCGATAAGCTTCCTGTGCTTCGATCCACCGCGCTTGGTCACTACACAAACCTCCTTCTCTCTTTGGCAATGGTGGTACGCGAACAGTACACAAGATCTACCAAGCTTTTTGGTTTCGGTGCTATCTGCGGTTTAACAGGCGCACAGCGAACTGCACCGGTAATGAGGCGAGTGTTGTTAGGCCGCCTGCTGATCGATTTCCTGGTCCATGGATGCACGGCAAGGGAGGAAAGGTAAAATGGGGAAAGCGTGGTTTGCACGCGGTATGTATATATGGCTTGCTCCCGGTTTGGAGGGTTGATTGACCGTTGGTTCGCATTGCTCCTCTTCCTCGAGTTCCTGTTGTCGTTTGAGCAGTTGCGATTGGGCTGTGAGTTGGAGATTGCTATTCTTCCGTCACGCTCCGTGTCTTCCTCTCCGTCGCCAGCATGCGTTCCTCAGCATCTATCGCGGCGGTGGCCCTTGCGCTATTGCAAGGTACCAATGCCATGAATGCGGCCATTCAACGCAAGTTTAACCTGCTTGCCGATATGGGCATGAACCCTGATGGCACGCCAATGGCCACACTCGACAACCCTGAGATCGACTTCACGGCTCTCAAATCCCTCAAGGTTGCGACTACAGCCGATAGCACGGTCGTAGCTGCCGCTAAAGCGGAAACCATCACCCCGGAATATGTCGAACTTCCCATTGACAACTTCGCCCAGAAGAAGAACCAGGATTATTCCTACCAAGGTACCTTCTTCAACAGGTACTGGGTTGCCACGAGCGGGTACAAAGCTGGTGGTCCCATCTTTGTCTACGACGTGGGCGAGGCGAACGCAGAGCCAAATGCTCTCTTTAGGTTGCAAAACGAGACAAGTTTCTTCAAGCAGCTTGTGGATGAGTTTGGCGGCATTGGAATTGTGTGGGAGCATCGCTTTTATGGAAATTCGACACCTACACCCATTGACGTTAACACGCCACCCGAGGCATTCGAGTTCCTGACGACGGAGCAATCGCTGGCAGATGTTGATCGCTTTGCGAAGCAGTTCAAGAGGACGGGTATCAACGCTACACTTACACCCGACAAGACACCGTGGGTTTTCGTGGGTGGTTCTTACCCCGGCATGAGGGCTGCTTTTATGCGTAACATGTACCCCGACACTATTTACGCGTCGTGGGCCTCCTCAGCCCCCGTCGAGGCTTCCGTTGACCAGAGTTTCTACTTTGACCCTGTGTGGCGCGGTATGAACGCAAAGGGTTTCGGCAACTGCTCTGCCGATATTCAAGCTTCCGTCCGCTACATGGACAAGATCATGGATTCTGACCAGAGTGCAGCTGCGAAGCTGAAGGAGCAATTCCTTGGTCTTGGAGCCGCGAAGAACTCGCATGCTACTTTTGCTGATGCGCTCACCACCATCTTCTACGTATGGCAGTCTTACGGTATGGAAGGTGGAGCGGCGGGTCTGCGTCGCTTCTGCGATTTCATCGAGACGGATCCCAAGACGAATGCTACTGCACCCAAGGAGGGCTGGGCGAAGAGCAAGGGTGCCAAGTGGACCACGGACCGATGGGCGAGCTTCCCTGCTTTCCTTCCCAATGTCAACAGCTATCTTGAGACAGAGTGCTCAGGAAAGCTCAACACAACTGGTGATTGTGATCTGAACCACAAGTTCACGGATCCTGCGATGATTAGCTGGACCTGGCAGTACTGCACACAGTGGGGTATGTGTTCCTTTTCTCACCTTTTCTTCTTGCATCAATCATGCTAACACTTGTCTAGGGTATTTCCAATCCGCCAACCTTGGCCCTCAACAACTCGTCTCAAAGTACAACTCTCTCCAACACCAACATGACATCTGTCACCGCCAATTCCCTGATGCTCCACGTTCCCTCTTCCCAGACTGGCCAAACACTTCGCGCACCAACAAGGTGTTTGGGGGCTGGGACATCCGCCCCTCAAACACGTACTGGTCGAACGGTGAATTTGACCCGTGGCGCACCCTATCCCCTGCTTCTGCTGAGCCCTTCGCCCCCAAGGGCGTGCAGGTCATTCAGGATGTACCCAAGTGTGGAAAGAAGACTAGTAAGCATGAGTTGTTTGGGCTGGTGCTGAGGGATGCGGAGCATTGCTTTGATTTTAGGACGACGGGTATTACGGTCGCGGATGGACCGGTCAGCCAACGCTTGTTCAGGAGCGCACTGACGAGCTGGTTGCCGTGTTACAAGCCGAAGAAGGGGCACTCGAAGCCGTGGAAGGGATAGATTAGATGTGAAAATGGCGGTTGTTGGTGGGAGTGGAGGCGGAGAGCTAGACTACCCAACACGCTCCGATACGCGTATGATCTCAAGACGTCCTTGAGTAGCTGCACAGACGTATTCATCAATCGTGTCATCTGAGAATTCTTAAAGTGCAATGTTCGGTGATTGCAGAATCTTGACCAAAAAGTGATATCCTATGAAACCTTTGTTAGGGTGATGCAACGGAGTTTTATAACTTTGGTACTGCTCTTAACTGTCTTCCTAAATCTTGCTCCTTCTTCTCCCTCTCCCTGTCGTTTAGCCGAGCCTCCCACTCCCACACCTCCCCGGTGAACCTACTCTTTTCCCACTTTTCATATATCTTCTTCCTCTCCTCTTCAATACTAGCCCCACACATGCTGCCCCAAAACTCCAACTGTTCTTTGAATCCAGGGTTTGGATCGCAAATCGGTCGCCCCTCACACAACTGCTCCAACGCCGCCTCGGGAGTCAATTCGTACTTCCACATCAGGTACGCGCATACCATCGCCGCAGACCGTGATTTCCCCATTGCGCAGTGAACAAAAACGCCTCCGTCTTCCTTGTTGAGTGCCGAGTCGATATATGCAACGGCATCCGGGAAGTATTGCAGGAGGTTTGTATTAGGGTGATCTTCTGAGCGGATGTGGAAATGCTTCAGATGTTGGAATTTCTCCTGGAGTAGTGGGTCGTAGTCTATTACTGAGAGGACGTGAGTTATGCCTGCTTTGTCTATCAGGTCGCCTTGGTACAAAGCGTAAAGACCGCCGATGTGGAGTTTGCCCGCTCGCGGAACGAGGTCGACCCATCCCATGCCTGTGTGTCCGGTGCTGCCGTGGAGAAGAAAGGACATGTAGATACGTCAGTGTAAAGGGATGAGAACAACAGTCAAGGTTCCTGATAGGGAGTCTGGAAGATGGACGAGATGGCGGGTCGTGCGATGGTAGTGCGAGCTGGCTACGTTCACGGCGAAGAGTGAAGAGGGCGGAGAAAGTGCCGAGGTACGATGATTACACTGCAGCTTTTTCGTCTCAAACTCATTACCACACATGTTTTTAGGCGTCTAGCTACCATCATAGGTCTCCTGGGGTGACGGAAAAGGCTCTGTATCATGATAGGATATCATGTTAGAAGTGTCGTTGATTGTGGGTGCAAGGAGAGCGCCCCACGTGCGTCGAACGCTAATGTAGGGTGAGGTGCTGACTTCATATCTCCACCTCTACAGGGTTTGATATCGAGAAGCGCAAGTATGGGTCAACTCAGATGCCCAAGAAAACGAATTCGGGATCTTCGACGACAACGGCCAGAGCTTGATTGGAAGGCCACTACTGACGAAAACGATAAATGGATTTCATTTCTTCAACTTGAAGGAAGGAAACCGCAATTCCTAAAAGGTTCTAGGGACAGACTAAGAGCCCATTACCTATACTTCCATCGTTGTTGCCAGATCCTTAGGCTGGCTTAGGAGGGAAGGCTGGTGGTAGTCTCCGCAGCCTCGGAGTGATTTCAGCGGGATCTACAATGCTCGTCTTTGTCATTAGGTCGATAGCTAAGTCTCTTGTCGAAGTGATGTTCAACGACACGGGTTATTCTTAGTCGGTCTATAGATGTAGCGTGATGACGATGCAGATGTTGGTGATCAGGCGACGTGCAATTTGCTCGTGTTGTGCCGCTCCAGCGGAAGCGGAGTCCATCCCAAACTTACGGGTGGCACCCCGCAAACAACAGCACAATGCCACGATAGCGGCGACAAGGCAATGCGCGACAGCTGGACAAGCTAAGACGGGAAAATTTGTGAGTAAAGTATGACGATGGGATACCAGGATTTTTCATGGGGAAACAAAGCACGTGGGGCGCGAGGGTCCTGCAGGGTGAGCCAATTATAGCCCCTAGCGGTTATCGATAGATGCAGGGTGGCGATAGCGGTGCGCAACACCAGGATCGTCAGGGCAGGCCAATGCAGGGCAGCTGGTAGCTGACAGAAATTGTTTTTCGAGGGGTAAAACATGACGACTGTCTCATGAGTTTTACCGCGTGTGAGAGTGCTCGAGAGGGCGATGAAAGCAACGATTGTATGTGACGCCAACGCGCCAATGCAAGCAATGCATTTAACACACGACACAAGCGGCTAGCCTTTCCGTGAGGTTGCGGGCTAGCGTGATCGTGTGTGGATGGTGCCCCGTATCTGCCCACGCCTCGGGCCACCCCTTCTTCAAAGAGAGTGTCGCCGCTCGCTCCTGCCTCCGTCCATCTCTTCTGTCCATCTTTCTTATCCCTCGGGACCACCTTCGCTTTACTAACCCGACAGCTTAATTCCTGGTTTCTTCAAACCTCACACTCGCTTGCCGAAACCGCGCCATCCCGTCTCAGGGGAACACACACGACGGATATTTCACGCGTGCACCCTGCCGTTTCACCCAGCCAAGGCCAAAAGAGCGACCCACGACGAGTGAGGGAGACGTCGTGATACCATTGTCTTGATCGCGCCGCGACTCCACTTGCCGACGATAAAGTGCTTACACGACATCGAAGATCCCGCAAACGGTCCGAAGCCATGGTACCAAGTCTACTGTCCGCCGCCTTTGCGGCCACGATATTCGCAGGCACAGCGCTCGCTGGAGCAAAATGCACAAAAGATAGCCACTGCCCTCAGGACACTCCCTGCTGCTCTCGTACGTCCTGCCAAGGCGCACTGTGGTGAAAGTGGTGCTAACAAGCGCGCAGTATACGGCGACTGCGGTGTCGGCGCCTTCTGCCTCGGTGGCTGCGACCCCCTCATGTCACACTCGTTCGACTCGTGCGTCCCCGGCCCTGTATGCAAATCTGGAACATATTCGCTAGACAGCCTGGACGATGTGCAGACCATCGACAAGTACCTGGGAGATGCATCCAAGATCAACTGGCAGTCGCAGGGCATGCCCACTATCTACACAGACCCCAAGACCAAGGAGAAATCCACCCTCTTGACCATGGCACAAGGCACAGTCGGAACACTTCTGGCCTCTACCTACTACGTTTGGTACGGCAAGATCTGCTCCAAGCTGAGCACCGCCCAGGGCAAGGGTGTTGTCACCGCCTTCATTCTCATGTCGGATGTCAAGGACGAGATCGATTTCGAGTGGGTTGGTGTAGACACAGGCCACGTGCAGTCCAACTACTACTCGCAAGGTGTCACAGTGTGTAAGTAGTCCTACAATCCGCACAAGCCCCCTTGTACAAGACTAACACGAATCCAGACACCAACGGCGAAAACCTTACTGTACCTGACTCCAACACGGTTGAATCCATGCACGAATACTGCGTTGACTGGAAGGAAGACACCCTTACATGGTCTATCAACGGCAAAACTCAACGCACCCTGGAGCGCGAGTCGACATGGAACAAGACATCTGGTCGCTACTCCTACCCTCAGACACCTGCCCGCGTCATGCTCTCCCTCTGGCCCGCCGGTCTACCCACCAATGAAAAGGGAACAATCGATTGGGCAGGAGGTGAGATTGACTGGAACTCGCCCTACATGACCAACGGATACTACGCCGCCCGCTTCTCAGAAGTCACAGTCGAGTGCTACGACCCACCAGAGGGCGCCCAGATCAAGGGCAAGAAGACGTACAAGTACACAGACGAAGCTGGCACCAACAACACCGTCGCCATCACCGACGATGTAGTCGTCCTGGGCTCGCTCATGGGCACAGGCGAGAACCCGGGTGAAGCCAAGGACAACGACGACTCAAAGGCTACCGATGTTGCCATGGTACCTGGTGGTAACCCTGGAGGCGGTGCCGGTCGAGAAGTCGAGCAGACCAGCACCGCTGCGAACCCTAACTCTCCCGCTGCCGAAACCGGTTCTTCTAGTGGTGCTACCGCTGAAGGCCAGTTCATTCAGGGTGGCTCCAGCATGGGTGCTGGATCCGTTGTCCAGCCTGGTCTGAGCCGTATGGGTGGCTCCGTCTTTGCCATTGTTGTCGCTATCGTCGGACTCATGGCGTTATAGACGCATGTCCTTTCCCGTTGCATTATGCCTTTTTCATGTCTGTCAGTCTTTGCGGTCTTTGGAGTTCGATACCTTGCCTTGCAATTTTTGTGTACTGGGAAAAATGAGGGCCTCGTTGTCATGTTGTGCATAGTGCATGCAATTCCTTTTTGTCTGTGACAGTCCTCCTGCCACGTCCTGTTTCCTTTTAGATTCGTTGCATATGCTCGATACAATACGAAATGTAATAACCTTCTAACAGCTTGTCAACATGCAATGCACGGAAGATCTTGAATTGGTTTTGGCTTCGATTATGGGTGTGAGGAAAGTATCAGAGGCCAGAACGAACTGGAAAAAGCAGGCGAAGATCATACACGGCTTGATACTAAAGCAAGGTTCGGATCCGAAAAAGACAACGAAAAGATAGTATCACTCTGCAGTGCTCGATGCAGTGCAGCAGTGGCACGGTGAGCTAGTCCATTTCCGTCACTGCCGCATCATGTACAGGTAGCAGCCAGCCGTTACGGAAGGTCCATTGGTTCTCCCAGGAACTAGATGCATGCCCCGCGCGAATGCGGATATGGGTATAACAATTCTCCACACAACTGCCGGAACGGTATTCGAGGTCAGGGTGCCTGTAAGCGCTACACAATGGCGGTCCAGTAGTATCGGGCTCATGCTTACTATAGTGGAGTTTTCCTGCGAGCACTATATTACCATGTCGATGACTACAGCCTCGCAAGATGGGCTTGCTGGCAACATCGAGCTGGGCAAGACTTTTCTAATACAGGTCTTTGCATCATGTCTGCTTGGCTGATGGGATGGTTTTAAACCCGGCACGCGTCCCGATTGCTGAAGGGCTTTGCGTCCTGAGACACTTTCGTGACCTGCGCTTCTGTTACTTCTGAGGAACCACCCTGCGGTTATTTTACAATTCTTTCTCGTCACCATGTCTCTTGCGTTCTATGCGTTGCTGGCCGCCTTGGTAGCTGTGGTTGCCTATAGCCTACGTAAAGTCGGTCAAAGGCCAGCAGGTTACCCTCCAGGGCCACCGACACTGCCCATCATTGGAAACTTACATCTGATGCCAAAAGAGAAGCCGCATCTCCAATTTCAGAAGTGGGCCGAACAATTTGGGCCAGTGTACTCACTCATCCTTGGTACAAAGGTAATGATTGTATTGTCGTCGGATCAGGCTGTAAAGGATCTGCTGGACAAGCGCAGTAGTATATACTCGTCGCGTCCGGATCTGTATTTGAGTAACATTGTGAGCGGGGCATCGGAAGTAAGCGGTGGATTGCGAATGCTGCTCATGGTAAGTGGCTTCGTGATGATCATTTGATCAGAACGCTTATTGAAGTAGCCGTACGGAGATACATGGCGCATGATCCGGAAGATCGTGCACAACAACCTCAATATCAAGGCAGCCAGGACATACGTCCCATACCAAGAGTTAGAGAACAAGGCCATGCTCGTGGGGTTCTTGGATAGTCCAGATCTCTTCGCCGACCACATCCGTCGCTACACCAACTCATTGACCACACAAATGATCTTTGGTTTCCGTACTATAAGTATCGATGATCCCAAGTTGAAGCAGCTCTATTCAGTAAGTTCATCTACCTCCAAGAGCCTCTTGCTCATATTCCTGACAACGGTACCTCTAGGGATTCGAGAAGTTCTCAGAGATCTCGGGTAAGACAACAGCTGCCCTTCTCGATCTCTTCCCAGTACTTCGAGCATTACCTGACTGGGCGCTTCCTCTGCGGAAATACGCAAGAAACCTTCACGAGAAGGAGTGCGAGCTATACATTGGCCACTGGCTCAATGTGAAGAAAGCCATCAAGAACGGAACATCGAAACCATGCTTTTGTCTCGACCTAGTGCGAGCGCAAGACGAGGAGAACTTCTCAGACGCTCTTGCTGCTTACGTGAGTGGTTCGTTGCTGGAGGCAGGATCGGATACCACGGCTGCAACGCTCATCGGCTGTAAGTAAACTGTACCCAATCTCCATGTATTCTAGAGCCTACACTGATTCATATGCTCAAAAGTCATTCAAGCAACGATTCTGTTCCCAGAGGTTGCAAAAGCTGCCCGCGGAGAGCTTGACCGCGTATGTGGCGATCGTTTCCCGACACTGGACGACGCGCCAAATCTGCCTTATGTTCGCGGCTGCGTAAAGGAAAGCATGCGCTGGATGCCCACTGCCATCCTTGGTGTCCCGCACGCTGTGGTCCGCGACGATGAATACATGGGGTATACGATTCCTAAAAACGCAGGCGTAATGTGGAATGTTTGGGCCATACATAATGACCCCACGCGGCATGCTGAGCCCCGCAAGTTCGATCCGCAGCGATATGCGAATGATAGCCAGACTGCGGCTGAGGCGGCGAACAATTCAGATGCGAGTAAGCGGGATCATTTTCTTTTTGGGGCAGGGAGGAGGTTGTGTCAGGGTATGCATATTGCGGAGCGGTCGTTATTTTTGGCAATCTCGAGAATGCTCTGGGCGTTTGAGTTTGAGCCGGGTAAGGGCGAGCATGGCGAGGTGGAGCTACCCGATGCAGATGACCTGACAGAGGGCATGTTGGTGCAGCCAAAACCGTTCAAGGCGAACATTGTTCAGAGGGATGAAGAGAAGGCGAGGATTTTGAGGGAAGAATGGGATAAGATGGGGAGCTTATTGGGTGAGGATGAGCAGTGGAAAGTGCTACCTGAGGGGTTGATCTGGAAGGAGTATGATAATGCTGCAAAGACGGCATAAACTTTAAGAGTATATTCGTATCTAGAGAGGCTTATCCTTCGTTATTTTTCCAAAGAAATTCTGCACGGCACTTGGTACTTAGTTGGGTTAGCTAGCGCATGCTCAAGCCTGGCTGAACACGGCTACTTACACTCCATTTCATCACAGCCGCCGTCCTTGAGTATTCGTACACCGCACTCAGGGCAGGGTTGAGTAATATTACCGATGACCCTCAGCGCTTCATCCTCCTCATCAACGTGACCTTTGATGCGCAGTTGATATGCTTTGCACGATTCTCCTCGATGATACGGTCGATCGCAGGGTACGCAGGACAGTGCTCCGCACTTACGACATATACAAATGTCCGTTGTATCTGGTTCTTCTTTGGCTGTTTTGCTTTCATCTTCATCTGGCGTCTCCCCATGCACTTGTCCCTCATCACAAGACGAAGACTGACACCAACGCCATCCTGGTGTGTTGTTGCCGATATGGATACGCTCAAGTTTCTTGAAACGCGCAAACATGTTCTCGGAAGCAGCAGTCTCGATGTCGTCAGCCTTCATGATAGCAGGACATTCTGGACAGCGGATGCCAAATGTCTTGTTGTCGTCTCCACCTATTCTTACGTTCATGTCCTCGATCTGTGAGTCTACGTATCTCTCAAGACATGATTTACAGGTGTTTATAAGATGCTCGCATTCAGCAGAAGGGTTGAAGTCAGCAAAGTGACGCTCGTGTTTGGTTTCACCACAAGTAAGGCAATGATAGCGGGCGACCTTCTTCTTCTTGGAAGTATGGGGATCTCCTTTTCTTCTCCGTTTCCCCATAATCAGCCGATTTTATGGTATAGTAGTGGTGTGAGTGCGTGGGGGGATTCACAATACTAAGAAAGGATCGTTGTTAGCAGAGAGTTTCGGAGTTTCTTACAATCTGGTAACATATTTATACAAATAGAAGGAAGTTTCCGAAGAGACAGGGATGCGGAGAGAAAGTTACAGCTCGTTCTCGTTGAGCGCGATGAACCTCTCCAATCTCTAGATGGGCCCGAGCAAACCTTCGGATGAAAGACACTACAAACCCTTGACGATATAGAGGAAATTAGATTTTTCTTAAGAGCCGTGTAGTAATGAATAGAATCTAATAGACATCATCACCCAAGCTTTAAAATATGTTCTCCACATTTGGTGGTAATCGGCGAGAGTCGCAGTGCTAGAGATTTATAATTCTTGTTATGTTAACCCATAGATCATCTCTCAGGATTCCTATCAATCCACGCTGTGTTCCCAAATTTTCCCGAAAACGGGTACTGGAACACCTTCTCCAGAGTAGAGTACGGCTCATATTGCTTCCGGTCCATAACAATACTGACATTGCTCGCTAGCCGAGCAGTTTCATTCCACCCAGGTCCGTAGTCCTTGTACTCCGCCATCGTGGTATTGAAGTTCACTCTCTTATCCGTGGTACCCCACTCAATGTATCCATTCGGTTGGATAGAATCATCAAGATAGCAGTTTGCGAAGATGGAGCGATGTTGGGAGTTCCAAGGGCGGCCGAGCGCGCATTTTCCGGTTATGGAGAGGGATGAGTTGGCTTTCTTGACGTCAGAGTCGTGGATGTAGACGCCGTATTTGTTGACAAAAGTTGTGTTTGTACCCTTCCATGCTGTGATGCCGCCGCCGCAACTGCGAAGGGAGACGAGACTAGATTGGATCCATGCTGTGCCGAAACCATAGAAGAAGTCTGTTTGTCCGGCGATTTCATTCTTGTAGAAGTATGCATTTCCTAGTTTGCCAACGTAGACGGTATCTTGGTATGAGTAGAATCCGCAGTAGTAGAAGCCTGTGTTTGCGTAGCTTACTGAGACTGCCAGTGCCGGGCCAGCCGAGTAAGGCGCGTACAAATTGCTGAAATCTATGTTGTACGCGCGGAAATCGGAGTTGCCGAATGGCGTGTCTGCTGGTACGGGATTGCCAGTCGGCCCTGAGCCGGTCGTACTTGCGTTGAAAGTCGGCGCGACCGTGAGGACAGAAGTGTATGCGTTATCTAGCGTAGATAGGCCTGCTCCGGTAGCGTTACGCCATATAACGTTTACAGTGTTCTGGCTTTGATCGTTTGGGGCTTTTGTCTGACCAAACAGATAAACGGGGCCAGGACGAGTGACGTTTACTTGCTCGGTATAGTTTCCAGGAAGAATCAGGATGTGATGTGGTGTCGTATCGTTTGGCAAGCTCAGCACTGCGGACTGAATGGTAGAGAAGTTCCGCCCAGGGCCCACGAGAATTGTGTTCTTAGGGCAACCGTCTAGTGGCTTCTTGGTCGGGTACTGGCATGCCTTCCGGTTTATCGTAGATATGGCAGCGCATGCCTCGAATAGGCCAAGGAGAAGAGTAGCCCAGTGCATGGTGATGAACCGAGACGTCTCGAAATGACCTGAATTGTGAAGAAAGCTTATCCTCGTTTTGGCGAGTGAGGAAGCTTGGCCGGCTCTTTATACCAGCACAGTGTATCCTGTATGTCCAGGGTTAGGTCTCAAGATACCCGTGATGCAGCATACCTGGTTGCCGGTGTGCCATTTAGCACCATTATCAGCCGCAAGTACGCCTCTAGTATCAATTATCCGTTCGATGCCTCCAATCAGTGTTACTTTTCAGTACAGCGAACGCGGGGAGTATCCACATGGAGAAATCCGGAGAACGTGGGGAAGAGGAGGAACATTATCCACCAATTAGCCCGAACACTAACGAGCCTCGGAAATGATCTCATGTCATTAAAACAGCCGACAGGCCGAGTTCTGGAGAGGGAATGAAGACACAGCGTTGAAATTCAGAAGCCGTCGTGTTTATATGATCTATGCCGTCCATGAGGCTTTCGTGGCGTCGGTCAAGCTTCGGTGCAGGTCTTGCTGAAGCTTATTCTCGGATGATTCGATGACGCGTCCTTACCATGAACACAACGCAGCATACAGTAGAACTATCGTATCTACCTCAAGAAAATGTGTGCATGGGGAGTATGTAAATCGTGTGTTGATGCATAGCTGTGCTGCAAGTGTAATGACGCGAGAGTCATTCCTTCGCCAAGGCTGGCTTCTTACCAACGGAAGCTCTTGACGATATCAATGTCGCAACGCAAACGGTAACGAAGACGAATCAAGGTCGGAGTTTTGATTCAATACCGTGAACTTGATATTTAACTCATACTATGTCAGAGATGAGCCAGCTCGTGGTGTTGAAGAGGAGTGAGCTTCTAGTGTTACCTGAATCTGGCGCTAGAAAGGAAAATATGGGTCACTGGAGACGCGAATGCGAAGGCCCGCCGACAGCTCTCCGCCCACAACTGCATCGTCAACCATCATCCTTCTCGACAACTGAGCATCTAGAACTTATCGCCACATCTTGCGCACTTCTTTTTTTCGATCTAGAAGCTCCTAGCGACATCATGATTGCCAGCAGCCGTTGGTTCTGCGCTTCGGAAGCCTCCATGAGATCTAGCCTCACTATACGGGGCGTCATCTTTGCCATGTGCACTTCATGGGATTCCCCTGGCGTTCCTGAAAAGCCACAACTATCGCGAATATGAGCCAAGTTGGAGGCAGAAGTATGCGCCAAGTGCTTTGGTGTTAGGCTAATAACGCCCAGCGATCACGACATCGCCCTTGACCTTTATGCGCATCGTTGAGAGGATCTACCAAGACAATCGAACCAACCATTTGCTTCACCTTCCTGTTCAGGGTTCTTGGAACTGGTCAGCTCTGAACACCACAAGCAACTCAAGCCTCATTATGTTACAGCGCCTGCTGATCGCGACATGGTAGGAGTGTATTCGCAATTAATTTCGCGTGGCATGCTACAACGATGTTATCGCGCCATTACAGAAGGCTATATGACCCTACAAGACCCCGGCTATCTAGTGGTTGTCAGTCGCTCGCGCAACTTCTGTCTGGAAGCCATCGGCGGTACTTCGATCACCAAATTGACGCGAGCTAAGGGTGCTCTTAGCAAAGGCTAAGCATGACCGCGATTCCTGACGACGACGCAAAGGTTGCGCGGTACACAAACGACGAGACCTCACCCCCACCGCCAGTTTACGAAGATGGTAGTGTACAGGAAGACAATGCTTATGTGTACGATGACTCTCAGAAGCTAGGCTACACAGCCACGGTTTTCGTGATTCTGAATAAGATGATCGGTACCGGCAGTACGTATCCACCACGCATATTCGCTCGAGTATCTGCTTAACGGTGTACAGTCTTCTCTACTCCTTCCGGTATCTTCGCTGTGACGGGCTCTGTCGGCGTATCGCTCTTCCTATGGATTATTGGCGGTGTTCTCACGTTTTGTGGGCTCAGTAGGTTGGATTTCGGGTTGTAACTGAGCAAGTCGCGTTAATGCTGTGGCAGGTGTTTTTTTGGAATTTGGACTTGCGATTCCACGTTCAGGTGGCGAAAAGAACTATCTGGAGCGCGTCTATCGTCATCCTAAGTATCTCGCAACATGCGTTCTTGCATCGCAAATGCTTTTGCTCGGCTTCTCATCCGGTAACTCCTTGGCGTTCGGACGCTACGTACTGTTCGCTTCTGGCTCGGAAGCACCCGATGGTTGGGCGGCGCGTGGCATAGCCATTGCTTGCGTGACCTTTTCTGTCGGCCTCCATGCGACATTTCCAAAATGGGGCATCCGTCTCTTCAGCATCCTCGGCGTGTTCAAGGTCTTCATTCTCCTCTTCATCGTCTTTTCAGGCTTCGCTGCCTTGGCCGGCCATCTGAAGATAGAGCAACCGCACAATTTCGACAATGCATTCAGACTAGAAGTTGGTGATGGCTACGGTGGCGGTGGCTCCTACGAATACTGTCAAGCTCTGCTTCGTATCGTCTACTCGTACAAAGGTTGGGAAAACGCCAACTATGTGTTGGGCGAAATACGGAACCCGAAGAAAACCCTGGCTTGGTCAGCACCGCTAGCAATTGGCGGAACTACCATCCTGTATGTCCTCGCGAATGTGGCTTACTTTGCTGCGATTCCCAAATCCGACCTTGCAAAGAGTGAGGTCATCGTGGCTGGTCTCTTCTTCCGCAATGTCTTCGGTAACAGCGCTGGGGCGCGAAGTCTCCCGGCCTTTGTAGCCCTTAGCAACTTGGGCAATGTGCTCGCAGTTAGTTTTGCCCACTCGCGGCTTAACCAAGAATTCGCGAAGGAGGGCCTGCTACCATGGAGCCGATTCTGGTAAGTTTTGATTGCGAGATGCACATGAAACATACACTGACTTCGCCCCTTCACTTCTACAGGGCATCAAACAAGCCATTCAACGCGCCTGCAACGGCGTTGTTTCTCCACTGGCTAATTACAGTTATCGTGCTTGTTGCACCTCCTGCTGGTCCTGCGTACAACTTCATCACCGATTTGTATACCTATCCCGGCGCATGGATCAACGGTTTCGTCACCGCTGGTCTGATCTACTTACACTACAACAAACGTGAACGCTGGGAGTCGCCATGGCATACCTATCTTCCCGTTGCCGTTCTTTACTTGGCTGTAAACATCTTTCTCGCGCTTGTCCCCTTTATTCCTCCGGATGGCGACTGGAACGCAGATGGCTACCCATACTACGTGTTTCCGATTGTTGGTGTTAGCGTCCTGCTTCTGGGTGGATTCTACTGGGTATGCTGGACGAAAATCTGGCCGAAACTTGGTGGATACAAGATCGTCAGTGAACGCTACGAAGATGCGCAAGGCAACGAGCATGTGAAGTATGTCAAGTTATACACGAAGCACGATTGAGGACCACATAGGAAGTTGGTTCTCGATGTGTTCTTATCTGGGTTGATTCTACCGTAGCCATCGAGCTGTTATAAGTAGTGTGGTCTGTGCATGCACCGCTGTCATCCAGGCTATCCATACTCCATCCACTTATGGACGATCTTCAACTTCCTTTGTGCATAACTCCCGATGATCATAGCGGGCGAAAGAATGTCAAGCAATCCGGATGCTGCTCTATGAGGCAGAGGCAGAGACACTAAAGATTTCAGCTTAAATTGCAGTATTTCTACAGAGGACTTTAGTAAGCGTATTGTGGTGACGCGACCTCAGGCAAATGTGGGGCCAGTTTATCCAGAAACGCGTTCCAACGCGCAGCGCGTTCAATACTACGCGAAGACACCGACTCCCATCTCACCTCCCATCTCACCTCCCATCTCGCAAGCTAGGCCGAGTTCTTTCAATACTGCCAGCGAATTCATGCAAATGTCTTACTCCCGAAAACCTGATGATTCGAGATGTGGACCCCTTCGCACCTAGTTCTGTGCTCTTATGTGGCGTATCCAGGATAGGCAAAGGCTAGGCCTCCAACCGCCCAACCTGGAAAATATCCCTTCCCCGCTCCACCATCCCAGGCAGCATGAAGCTGCCTGAGCTAGCGCATCATCGACTCTTGCAGTTCCAGAACGTGGTAGTCAATTTTGTTTTGCTTAAAGGGGTCCGGTTTTCCAACTCCTGTTTTACACACTTCGAACAAACCTGGCTGACATTACGACTCGTACTCGCTCAATGACGACAATGGGTAAGACTTCTAGCAAACCGAAGAATGAATATCCCGGGCTTGGACTTCCTCTTCGTAACTGGGAATGGCGGAACTACGGCTTCTATCCCATTGGCTCCCATAGCAATTGCTATGGGAGCGATTCGGATATCATCACCGTTCGGGAGCTCGCTATGATGGACATCATGGAGAAGCTTACCGACAAAGTCGATTGGCACAAGAAGGTGTTCGATGACGCTATCATCGCTAGGTGGCGTAAGGAGGCCCTCTCCATTCCCGATGATCACTTTTGGCAACTGGCCGTTGGTGCGAAGAGACAGTATTGGACCCATGACGATAATCAACTCGAGCTTCACAACGATAGGTGCAAATGCGAATTGGAGAATATTCTAGACGAGAATACATTTGACACTGTACGTTACCTCTTGCCCAAGTTTCGAATTCATTACTCATCTTTCGCAGTGTGTTCAAGAGCTTCGTAGCAAAGCCAAGTATTTTGAACAGTCGGGCATTATTCCATCTCTGGATGCGTGCGCATCTGTGGCGAAATCTGACACGCTTGTTACGAGCGAGCTACACGCAAATCTGCGCAAGGCTTTTGACGAGCTGAAGTCGGACCACGCTGTTTCTCCTGACTGGCATCCGAATTCGGATGATATGGTGCAGGATCTAGTACATCCATCCATGTATCCGTTAGTGTACGGCCGAAGTTGTGGTTTTAGTGAAGAGCACGTCGGTGTGGCGGACGCCATTGAGTGCTGGGCTGGCAAGGGTGAGATCATTCCACAAGAACCCCCTGTTGAACTTTCAAACAGCGACCGCTTCAGCTACGGCACTGGGGGCTCTAACATTCCGCCTGAGTATTGGTCGAACACGTACCAATGGCTACCAGCCAACGTCGCTTTCCAGAACGATGGCACTGTAAAATTCACCAGCTACATCAACAATCTACACCCTACGAAATATTCCGAGATATACCGTACCATCGAGAAGCTGGTCGAAACATCGCTCCCTTTGTGGGATCAGTGCTTGAGATTGGCAGTCGGCTATCACAAATTTGAAGGAGCCGGCCGTATGGATACCCGTACAGGTAAACCCGATAACCCTGAGTAAGTTCATCAAACATTTGACACTTTTGTAGCTGGCTAACCTACCGCTTTGATAGCGATGAGAATGAGGAGAACTGGATTCCTGATCATAAGGAAGCGTGTGCTGATGCAGAGGTCAGCGAAGAACAGTTGAGGGATCATGACTACGACCCTGAATATTATGAAACTGAGGAGGAGCGTGCAGAAGCTATGTTGGAAGCCAAGTGGCAGGCTGTCCGCAAACCTCGCTTGCATCCGGTTCCCTTCAATGACGTATCCTACATTCCACAATCAGGTAAGCGTCTTGCTGACAGGTATCGCGATTCGGGACTCCAGATCATTGTCAAGATGGCGTCGATCGAGCTCACACCCGAGAAGCCTGAATTTCCCGTAGGCGGATGGCATATCGAGGGGCAAATGAACGAGAACATCTGCGCCACAGCTCTCTACTACTTGGACAGCGAGAACATCACCGACAACAGCCTTTCGTTCCGTATGCAGACTTCATATCACATAAACGATGACAATGACTACCCTGTTGGACAAGACGCCTATCATTGGATGGAGGCGGTATATGGCACCAACTTGGGTGGCGGCGGCTCGCCATGTTTGCAGAATTATGGAAACGTCCAGACGCGCCAAGGAAGGCTGTTGGCCTTTCCCAATGTCTTGTGAGTTGATTCTGACCATGCTCGAATGTGGGCCTTGACTAATGCTTGCAACAGCCAACACCGCGTTTCACCTTTCAAGCTCATCGACCCCACAAAGCCCGGTCATCGTCGCTTCATCGCACTATGGCTTGTCGATCCCACAAAACGCATCATCTCGACAGCAAACGTCCCACCTCAACAGATGAACTGGTACGCCGATTCGCTCCTTGGATCGAACGATAGGGCACGTGGAGAAGCATTGTCAAAGCTACCCCCAGAGCTCATAAACCTGTTCGCAGAGGGAGGATTTACTAGCGTTTCTGCTGCTAGAGAAGCCCAGCTTCCTGAGGAGCTCATGGATTTCGTGCGCAAATATTTTGATGATGACAAGCACTCGCTTCCCATGAGTTCTGAAGAAGCGAGCGAACATCGTAAGAAGCTGATGCAGGAAAGAAGCGCATTCGTCCAGACCTCAGGAAAAGGATGGCAGAGGCCAAGTTACAACTTCTGTGAACATTGAGTCATGTGTATCACTTGATAAGAAACTGAATTGTAGCAACAACATATTTTCTTATGCTCTAGAACCTGTCGAATCTGCTGACATGCAATCCCTTCTTTCTATAGCTTTCCTGTTAGACGTGAGGTCATTAGGATCACTATCGGAGTACCTCGCCCCATTCATTGTCATGGACACGATTTCTTCGTCATTGCACGGGGTATGGGAGATTACACCGATAATGTTCCTCCTAAGCTCAACCCGCCGCATCGCGACACCGCCATGCCGCCAGCTTCGGGCTACCTCGTCACGACTTATGCAATGTCACATTGGTATGTTTTCCTCTCCATTTGCAATCAAATCGCTGTGCTAACATCTACACAGGCTGACACATGTCCGAGGGATTTGCGATACAGTTCCTGGTGCAGTATGACAGGATTGCAGGGTTGACCGACCATGATGCGTTGAAGAGCAACTGTGATGGCTGGAAGGCTCATAGCCAGTCTGGGTATCTTGCAGGATGATTCTGGCGTGTGAGGAATAGGCTATTTGGTGCGCACCGGCGCGTGTAGGCGTCGTAGCGTTCTTGCCCTCTCAACCCTCTTTTTAGCCTGATCATAAACCTGGGATAAGCCCGTGGGCGGAGCTTTGTTCGCTTCGAATTAACTTCTTTGTTCTACAATTGGTTACGTGATTCTTCGCGATGTTCTGCTTACAGCGACCCCGCCTTGGGGGCGTGCGGGAGACTGTACCCAGATAATCTAGCTCCACCACAAATCCGTGTCATCTCCATGATAAGTCCGATGTGACTCGGCCAATCATCTGGAGCACAACCGTCATTCCCCCAGTCAGCCGTGTTTGAGCGACTTCCAACGCGCATGCCGCGTCGCGTAGCATAGTCATCTATAGTCATCAGCAGCAAGCATGCTCCAGAAGACCGCAACCCGCGGATCTGCGCTATCTCTGGCTACCTAAGCTCTGGGTGTCTACGAGAAAGTTTCCTCCAATACGCCGATGGCAAAGAGGGTACCGCAAATATTGACAGGGGGACAGTCCCACAACGAGTAGTGGGATAGGTAATGGACCTGTATCTTACAGAAGAATGACGCACCAAAGAATTGTCTTAGATCTACGAGTACGCGTCGAGAATGACTTCATCACGACAATTACCAGCCTGGAATATTTGCATAAAAATGGCGCCCATTCTCTAGCAAAAAAGCTCTATTAAAGACAATCATAGACAGCACTTTTGTACATACAAAGATGGCTTCCGTATGTGTGCACCTTGATGTTGGTTAAATCGTAGCTAACGGACCTATTGCAGCAAAACACCGATGCGCCAGTATATACTCTGGCTGAAGGTAAAGCCCTTGTATGTGATTCTTGAGTCAGTCGCTCACAAGCATGTAGGACGTCCTATCCAAGATCCAACAGCCCAAACGGTACTTCGAGGCTCGCCGCTCAAAGGTGGTGGTCTCGCTCTACTCTCAGACACTCAGCTCATTGAGACGCTTGCGCACTTTCCCCGCGAAAGGATACCAGAGAGGTATGTTGATAACGCACGATCTAATACATGCTTCACACGTTGATGCTTTGCAGAGTTGTACATGCAAAGGCTGCAGGAGCATGGGGAGAGTTTGAAGTCACTCACGACATTTCGCACATCACATCCGCCAACTTCCTGAACAAGGTCGGAAAGAAGACTAAAGTCCTAGCTCGTATCTCTACCGTCGCTGGATCGAAGGGATCTTCAGACACCGTCCGCGACATTCGAGGATGGGCACTGAAGTTCTTCACCGACGAAGGAAACTGGGATATGGTTGGAAATGACCTACCCGTCTTCTTCATCCGCGATCCCGTGAAATTCCCATCTCTAAATCGTTCCCATCAAGCACACCCGCAGACGCATGTCCCAGACTCTACTATGTTCTGGGACTTCCACAACAATAACCAGGTAGGTTTACTCGTCACGTCGGAGTCGCACCTTTGATACGTCTTGTCATCTGGTCAACTCAGTCTAACGACGTCTAGGAAGGAATGCATGCGCTTATGCAATTGTTTGGCAACCGAGGCGTGCCGGAATCTCTGCGAAACATCACCGGGTACGGTGTTCACACTTTCAAATTCGGCAAACCTGAAGACGGATCTTTCAAATACGTGAAGATCCACTTCAAGCCTGATGCTGGCAACGTTACTATGAAGTCTGCAGATGCAGCGCGACTTGCAGGCGAAGAGCCAGATTACCATGTTAAGGACATGTTCAATGCGATCGAGAATGGTGACTTTCCCACTTGGACCATGATGCTCCAGGTTATGGATCCCAAAGAGGCAGAAAACTACCGCTGGAATATTTTCGATGCTACTAGGATCTGGCCGCACGCGGACTACCCGCCCATTCCAGTCGGCAAACTCACGCTAAACAAGAATCCTACGAACTACCACCAAGACGTTGAGCAAGCGGCTTTCTCGCCAAGCACGTTAGTACCTGGCATTGGTCCATCAGCAGACATCATGCTTCAAGCAAGAATGTTCAGCTACCCAGACGCGGCCCGTTACCGTGTTGGTCCAAATTACCAACAACTGCCATGCAACAGGGCCAAGAACGTTTACAGTCCCTACCAACGCGACGGTCCTATGCGGATGGATGGAAACTATGGTGCCGACCCCGACTACGTCCGCTCCTCATTCCGTAAGATTCAGTCCGGCCCACCGGATGTTGCGCACGACAAGTGGGTTGGTGAAGTGAGCTCATACACATCCGAGGTCACGGATGAGGATTTTGAGCAGCCGCGTAATCTGTGGGCGTTGTACAAGAAGTGGGGTGATGACCAGATCTTCATCGACAACTTGAGCGGACACATGAAGAAGGCGTTGCCGCAGGTGCAGAAGGAATCGATCAGTAAGTTGCTTTGTGAGACACTACCTTGAGAACCCATAAGCTAAGGACAACTAGAAATGTTTGCCAAGGTCGACAAAGAGATTGGTGACAGGCTCGAGAAGGCACTGGGCGATTCGCTGTCCATGAAGAATGTGGACCATGTGAGCGGGCCGTATGGCTTGCAACCAACACTAGGTGGTGGATACTAGAGCAACACTGGTAATAACTAATAATATATGAGATAATGATTTATTTCATGTACTTCGTTTGCCGTCGTGACCAACTTTCAAGTGTTGGTATCGCTAGAATATCAAACCTTTCAGATCAAACCCTCAAACTCGCTACGTTATCCTTCAGGAAATTATATGTATCACTCCTGAAGTCATCGTCCAGGTAGCTATTGCTGTTCGCGCCAAAGTTCACCAACTTCTTGCTTTCACTCCACCTTGGCCAGTTCATCAGTCCACTTCCCTCATTGGGATCCAAGTTGTAGATGAAGGAGTAATAGTAACCCCTGATAGACTTGGCGGCGTTGTTTGGCAAGATTCCATTAAAGACTTGAAGGATATCCGAGCCATGGAATGTCCCTAGGATAGGCGTGCCATAATCATACGTCGCAAGGTAGGACCATGACGGCACACTAGGGCTGACTTGCGCGGCGACTTCTAGAAAAACGCGACGTGTAAGAGTGAATGTCACGTCGCCAAGGATAGCGGAAATGCGCTTGAACTGCGGGTAGTAGTTGTTAAGGAGGCCAGTTCGGAAAGGTGATCCGTCCTCCGTGATAGTTTGGTAACTGCCGACCAATTGTTGGACTTGCGCTGGCGAAGCATTGTTAAAGAAGATGGTTGAGAGGTACGTCGTGACCTCACTGGTGGTGGTAAGATTCGAAGTGAAAAGGCCAAAGAGGGTACCCTCATCCTCTTGGTCGCCAACAATGAAAGGCACCTTGGCATACTTTCCAGCCTTGACAAGGGCATCGGGGGATGCTGTTAGGGCTTTTCCATCTGGTCGTGGTAGATAGGAGAGATTGACTGTAAAGTAGCTCAAGATACCAGGAACAGTATTTGCGGCATTGAGGAATTTCGTGTATGGAACTGTACGGAGACATGCCAAAGTATCGGCGGAGCCAGCGCATCCAGCTGCTTCGACAACCTGTGGTGGTTAGCGATGGTTCATCGTTGTTTCCATTAAGAACAAGAACTCACTCTATCGTAGATAGCCTGACCCTTGGGACAGTCCACGGGACCGGCTGGTACTATCGAGCCCGAGTTCATGATACCAGCTCTGAAGAGCGGCTTCCCCTTGTAGTTATTGTCGCCGTCGTACAGCATCATCTGATCTAGTACAGAAATAGCACCTGCACTCTCACCCCAGATTGTTACCTTCTCGGGATCACCCCCAAACGCAGCGATGTTGTCTGCGACCCACTGTAGGCCCAGCCTTTGGTCGAGAAGCCCTAAGTTGGCTGAACCGTCTTCCAATACCTCTTTTCCAGGCATGAAGCCAAACCCGCCCACACGGTAGTTTACCGCAACAAAGACGATAGGCTTGCCTTGAGCAACTGACTCGGCTACAAGACTGGCTCCGTCGTACATTGCAGTAGATCCAAGTTCGAAACCACCACCGAATATCCAGAATAGTACGGGAAGTTTGGCATCAGCCTTTGTACCAGCTGGCCGCTGAACATTGACAGTGAGGCAGTCCTCTCCGGCATTGGTAACTGTTTGAAGGAGTGGCAGATTCAATATGGTTCCCAGAACGTTGGTTGGAATGTTTCTCTCGTCTATGCTGAAGAAGAATTGTGGGCATGCTTTCGGAATGCCAGTGCCATCGACTTTTCCTAGGGAGGAAGTTAATGGTTGAGGTGGTTTCAGTCGCAGCTGATCAATCGGAGGCTGTGCGTATGGTATGCCTTTGAAAGACTCAACATTCGCGATGCTGGTCCCAGCAACGGTAGCTTGAGGTGAAGGAGCAATGACGGTAGGATTTGCACGCCTTTCCAGAGGTGCTGGGACTGCAAGAGCCAAAGGAAGCAATGGTAGGAGTATTGTGAGCTTCATGTTGAGGTGAGTATGTGTTTGACTCCTGTTGTTCGAACCAAACGAAGATTTCGCTCTTGAAGACTGCTTCTACCAACACTATCCAACACGCGATACTTAACCATCTCGGTAGAGCAGATGTCACAAGCCAGGAACAGCTTTTCTCGCAACGAACCTCGGACGGTACCCACGTCGATTGCGTCCGGTCGATGAATTAATCGGGAAGAATAAACACGAGCTCGATGTACTCCGTGGCTGCAGATATACCCATGCTCCAATAACATCTTGCCGGATTTTTGGGTCGCAGATCGCGCTCCTTATGGTGGAAGTGAGCTCTGACAGCCTTGTAAGAATGATGTGGTGCGTAGAGGTAATCAATTTTAACCTATCAGGAAACATAATTGAAAAAATCGGCCAGGGGAAAGAGCCTGAATAGGCTTGGGCTCTTGGTAGCTGACTCCCGGCGCCT